TGATTTTTTGGCTTAGTTATGAGATTTTTAAACTATGATTTTTTGAAGAAATTTGCTGTTTTTATACCTATTTGAAGGGTTTTTTTTTTTTATTTTAGTCAAAAACGTAGTATGCAGATTTGTTAGTGCTTTAAAAACTCGCACAGAAAAGTTTTCCGAATCAAAATTAAAGTTATTTCGGCTTAATTATGATGTTTGGAAAACATAGATTTTTCAATGAAATTGTCTGTTTTTATACCTTTTTTGCGGAATATAATTTCAGTCCGAAGATTGAAACGCAGTGAAGGAATCATTTCCGACCCTATAAATCATATATATTCTTGATCGGGATGAACTGCTGAATCGATCTAGCTATGTCTGGAAGAAAAATAAAATTTTCCGAATTTTGTGAAAATTTAAAAATTTGACAAGGGTTTACATCGTTCTTTTTATCAAAAATCGACAAAAAATTGAATTTCTTGAATTGAAAAACTGAGTATGCAGATTTGTTAATACAGTAAAAACTAGCATAGATCAGCTTTCCAAATTAAAATTAATGATTTTTTGGCTTAGTTATGAGATTTTTAAACTACGATTTTTTGAAGAAATTTGCTGTTTTTATACCTATTTGATGGGTTTTTTTTATTTTAGTCAAAAACTTTTGATTGCATCAAAAACGTAGTATGCAGATTTGTAAGTGCTTTAAAAACTCGCACAGAAAAGTTTTCCGAATCAAAATTAAAGTTATTTCGGCTTGATTATGATGTTTGGAAAACATAGATTTTTCAATGAAATTGTCTGTTTTTATACCTTTTTGCAGAATATAATTTCAGTCCGAAGATTGAAGCGCAGTGAAGGAATCATTTCCGACCCTATAAATCATATATATTCTTGATCGGGATGAACTGCTGAATCGATCTAGCTATGTCTGGAAGAAAAATAATATTTTCCGAATTTTGTGAAAATTTAAAAATTTGATAAGGGGTTACATCGTTCTTTTTATCAAAAATCGACAAAAAATTGAATTTCTTGAATTGAAAAACTGAGTATGCAGATTTGTTAATACAGTAAAAACTAGCATAGATCAGCTTTCCAAATTAAAATTAATGATTTTTTGGCTTAGTTATGAGATTTTTAAACTACGATTTTTTGAAGAAATTTGCTGTTTTTATACCTATTTGATGGGTTTTTTTTATTTTAGTCAAAAACTTTTGATTGCATCAAAAAACGTAGTATGCAGATTTGTAAGTGCTTTAAAAATTCGCACAGAAAAGTTTTCCGAATCAAAATTAAAGCTATTTCGGCTTAATTATGATGTTTGGAAAACATAGATTTTTCAATGAAATTGTCTGTTTTTATACCTTTTTTGCGGAATATAATTTCAGTCCGAAGATTGAAACGCAGTGAAGGAATCATTTCCGACCCTATAAATCATATATATTCTTGATCGGGATGAACTGCTGAATCGATCTAGCTATGTCTGGAAGAAAAATAAAATTTTCCGAATTTTGTGAAAATTTAAAAATTTGATAAGGGGTTACATCGTTCTTTTTATCAAAAATCGACAAAAAATTGAATTTCTTGAATTGAAAAACTGAGTATGCAGATTTGTTAATACAGTAAAAACTAGCATAGATCAGCTTTCCAAATTAAAATTAATGATTTTTTGGCTTAGTTATGAGATTTTTAAACTATGATTTTTTGAAGAAATTTGCTGTTTTTATACCTATTTGAAGGGTTTTTTTTTTTTTATTTTAGTCAAAAACGTAGTATGCAGATTTGTTAGTGCTTTAAAAACTCGCACAGAAAAGTTTTCCGAATCAAAATTAAAGTTATTTCGGCTTAATTATGATGTTTGGAAAACATAGATTTTTCAATGAAATTGTCTGTTTTTATACCTTTTTTGCGGAATATAATTTCAGTCCGAAGATTGAAACGCAGTGAAGGAATCATTTCCGACCCTATAAATCATATATATTCTTGATCGGGATGAACTGCTGAATCGATCTAGCTATGTCTGGAAGAAAAATAAAATTTTCCGAATTTTGTGAAAATTTAAAAATTTGACAAGGGTTTACATCGTTCTTTTTATCAAAAATCGACAAAAAATTGAATTTCTTGAATTGAAAAACTGAGTATGCAGATTTGTTAATACAGTAAAAACTAGCATAGATCAGCTTTCCAAATTAAAATTAATGATTTTTTGGCTTAGTTATGAGATTTTTAAACTACGATTTTTTGAAGAAATTTGCTGTTTTTATACCTATTTGATGGGTTTTTTTATTTTAGTCAAAAACTTTTGATTGCATCAAAAAACGTAGTATGCAGATTTGTAAGTGCTTTAAAAACTCGCACAGAAAAGTTTTCCGAATCAAAATTAAAGTTATTTCGGCTTGATTATGATGTTTGGAAAACATAGATTTTTCAATGAAATTGTCTGTTTTTATACCTTTTTGCAGAATATAATTTCAGTCCGAAGATTGAAGCGCAGTGAAGGAATCATTTCCGACCCTATAAATCATATATATTCTTGATCGGGATGAACTGCTGAATCGATCTAGCTATGTCTGGAAGAAAAATAATATTTTCCGAATTTTGTGAAAATTTAAAAATTTGATAAGGGGTTACATCGTTCTTTTTATCAAAAATCGACAAAAAATTGAATTTCTTGAATTGAAAACCTGAGTATGCAGACTTGTTAATACAGTAAAAACTAGCATAGATCAGCTTTCCAAATTAAAATTAGTGATTTTTTGGCTTAGTTATGAGATTTTTAAACTACGATTTTTTGAAGAAATTTGCTGTTTTTATACCTATTTGATGGGTTTTTTTTATTTTAGTCAAAAACTTTTGATTGCACCAAAAAACGTAGTATGCAGATTTGTAAGTGCTTTAAAAATTCGCACAGAAAAGTTTTCCGAATCAAAATTAAAGCTATTTCGGCTTAATTATGATGTTTGGAAAACATAGATTTTTCAATGAAATTGTCTGTTTTTATACCTTTTTTGCGGAATATAATTTAGTTATGAGATTTTTAAACTACGATTTTTTGAAGAAATTTGCTGTTTTTATACCTATTTGATGGGTTTTTTTTATTTTAGTCAAAAACTTTTGATTGCATCAAAAAACGTAGTATGCAGATTTGTTAGTGCTTTAAAAACTCGCACAAAAAAGTTTTCCGAATCAAAATTAAAGTTATTTCGGCTTAATTAGGATGTTTGGAAAACATTGATTTTTCAATGAAATTGTCTGTTTTTATACCTTTTTTGCGGAATATAATTTCAGTCCGAAGATTGAAACGCAGTGAAGGAATCATTTCCGACCCTATAAATCATATATATTCTTGATCGGGATGAACTGCTGAATCGATCTAGCTATGTCTGGAAGAAAAATAAAATTTTCCGAATTTTGTGAAAATTTAAAAATTTGATAAGGGGTTACATCGTTCTTTTTATCAAAAATCGACAAAAAATTGAATTTCTTGAATTGAAAACCTGAGTATGCAGACTTGTTAATACAGTAAAAACTAGCATAGATCAGCTTTCCAAATTAAAATTAATGATTTTTTGGCTTAGTTATGAGATTTTTAAACTACGATTTTTTGAAGAAATTTGCTGTTTTTATACCTATTTGATGGTTTTTTTTATTTTAGTCAAAAACTTTTGATTGCATCAAAAAACGTAGTATGCAGATTTGTAAGTGCTTTAAAAATTCGCACAGAAAAGTTTTCCGAATCAAAATTAAAGCTATTTCGGCTTAATTATGATGTTTGGAAAACATAGATTTTTCAATGAAATTGTCTGTTTTTATACCTTTTTGCAGAATATTATTTCAGTCCGAAGATTGAAACGCAGTGAAGGAATCATTTCCGACCCTATAAATCATATATATTCTTGATCGGGATGAACTGCTGAATCGATCTAGCAATGTCCGGGAGAAAGCTAAATTTTTTAATTTTTTTTTTTTCCAAACTTCGAAAAAACGATAAATTGTTACAAATTGACAATTGAATTTTTTAACTTTATAAATTGAGTATGCAGATTTGTTTTCCCTTTACAACTAGTCCAAATTGAAATTATCCCATTTTTGACTGAGTTATGATTTTTCAAAAACTTTGATTAGCCAAAAAATTAGGATAATAATTAAAAAATTAGCATAAAAAATATCAATTATAGGAATTAATGTACCTGTCATTTTGTATGTATTTTATATTTCTTTTGACGAAGGCCAAAAGCAATTGATTGCCAATCAATTTTGAATTAAAATCTTAGCTAATGAAAAAATAAAACATTTATAAAGATTAGATGAAATTTAATAGATCTCGCAAACTTATCTACAATTATTGCTCTTTGTCGAATAAAAATTTCGTCAAGCCCTCTGTTCAATAAAAAAAATTCCCCAATATTTTGCAGATTGTTTTCCTGTTATACTATCTTCATTTGGCCAGAACCCGACGAAAAAAATGTAGAGTCACGGTCGCCACCGTATCTACAGTTTCAAGCAGATCAACTCTCGTATCGCCCGGAATTGGAGGAGCATTACGTTACACATGGAACGGTGAGCGGAAAGGGGGCTGGCCACTCGAGCAGGTGCGGACGAGAGATCAGATAGTGATAGAGGGACGTCAATCAACAGGAACGGACTGTCCGGGACGGGTATAAAAGCTGAGGGATGAGCCGGATAGCGCCATACTTTTTACTGGTAGCTCCAACATGAAAGTTCTCATTGTCTTCGCCTTGGCCTTGGCCTACGCCTCGGGATCGGCCCTGCGTGCCGCTCCATCCCAGGAGGGACGCATCACCCACGGCGAGAATGCCCGCACCGATCAGTTCCCCTATCAGGTGGGACTATCCCTGAAGGTTGGCTCCTCCTCGGCCTGGTGCGGTGGCTCTTTGATCGGCAACGAGTGGGTTCTGACCGCCGCTCACTGCACTGATGGGTGAGTTTGTCCCCCAGATACTTGAATCCTGGATATCCCGGCTAATATTTATGTTCTCTTCTTAAGTGTCGACTCCCTTGAGGTTTACCTGGGCAGCACCGTCCGCTCCAGCCCCAAGGTCAAGCACCATGTCGATAAGAAAGACATCATCATCCACGCCGAGTGGAACAGCCGTACTCTGAGGAACGACATCTCCCTGGTCCGTATTCCCCGCGTGGAGTTCAGCTCTGCCATCGACCGCGTTGAGCTGCCCAAGCACGAGTCCCACTACTCCAGCTACGATGGTGATGATGTGATCGCCTCCGGCTGGGGCCGCACCTCCGACGATTCCAGCGCTGTGGCCGCTCACCTGCAGTTCGCCCACATGAAGGTCATCTCCAACAGCGAGTGCAAGCGCACCTACTACACCACCATCCGTGACTCCAACATCTGTGTCTCCACTTCCGCCGCCGTTTCCACCTGCAACGGTGACTCTGGTGGCCCTCTGGTGCTGTCCTCTAGCAAGGTCCAGGTCGGTCTCACCTCCTTTGGCTCTGCCTCTGGCTGCGAGAAGGAGTTGCCCGCTGTCTTCACCCGTGTCACCAGCTACTTGGACTGGATCAAGGAACATACCGGCATCTAAGCTGCTGGCTACTGTTAGCTTGAACCAATAAAGTTTGTTGATATTATGAACATAAAAAATGGACTTTTGACAACTATGGGTAATGGGATCGTTGGTGGTGACGGTACCGGGGAAACTGGAAGTTTAATCATGGCAAGGCACTGGAGCTTAATAACAGAAAACAAACCAAAACTTTGGACTAAATTTAGTTTTTGTATCTCAGATCGCGGGATATAAACAGAAATCTCAATTAATTTTGAAACGTTTGCCAAATAAGATACTTCAGTTGTGCATTACTTAACTTTAACCTCTTTTTTTTATTGGTATTTATTTTCATCTTTGTATCGCTCTCTCTCTCTCTGTGACTTGGGAACACAAGTTCCCTCCTTTTTATAGCATTCTCTATATAATTTGAGTTTAAAATTTAATTTTGATAGACTTCCAATGGGTCAATAATCATATTATCATATAGGCCTCCTTTTTTTTGCAGAGTTACTCTTTTCGCACAGTAAACATTTGGAATGTGTGTCTTCTTTTTCATATATAATTAACATTTATACAATTATACAGTGATTGTATTTTCTCTTTTTTGTGGTTTCTGGTTTAGATATTATATATTTGATGTTTGTCTTTTTATTTAAATAGTAAAGAGCGACTGTTACGGACTAACATTATAATTATTACGAATACACACACATACAGTTATACGGAATAAAAATGTAATTTCCATCAATCGGTTTATAAATATTAACTTGCATTTACTTGAGTTTTTGTTTAGTTTTACTTGATTCAGTATCATTTATCGCCTTTAGGTAGTTGCTGAGGAGGAATAGCGCATAAAAATAACAATATTATAAAAAGGTTTCTCTCTCTGCACATAAAAGACTTCTAGTTTTTATAGTTTCTCGTTTTGGACTCTCTCTCTTTCTCTCTATAGATTTAATAGTTAGTTTGGGCTTCTTCTTAGTTTGTAAAACGTTCTCAACTTTTTACAATTGTCGGCAATGTGTAATAAATATATTTCTATATATAATTTTGGACTCTTTCGTTAGTTGTAGGTTCACATGCTCAGCTTTATATTTGGATTTTGGTGTGCATGCTTAGTGTGTGGTGTGGTGTATGTTGTCTGTCTGTGTGTGTGAGTTTTGGCGCCTAGTTAAAAGTACATACGAAATAACACTAAACTAGCAAAAATGATTATAATACAAAAGCAAACGAACAAGTAAGTACACGATCTGCTGGCGGTGCTCCAAGCGTTGAGGTGGCTTTGTCGCTGTCGCTGTCGTTGTTGAAGTTCTAGTTGATGTTGATCCTGTGGTTCTTGTGATGTCTGGAATCGTTGCCGCCGCTGCTCCTCTTCCTGCTGCTGCTGCTGGAACTGCTGCTGCAGCTCCTGCCAAAGCATTTGGCTGTCATCGCTCCCGTTGCCGTTGTTATTAATCAACACCAGCAAATCCTTGACTGCCCTCGATGGCCTTGATCAGTTTATCCTTTAGCTGCAGATAACCCTCGTAGGGTGGCAGGTCCAGGCGATTGAAGCTATAAGGGGATCGGCTTGTTAGTTGCATTTCCCTCTAAATTTTCTAAAAGCTTACCAGGTATGCGCCCTGGGAAAGTTATTGGGCGTGCCCCACTTCTCAATGGTGAACATCTGCGGGCCATTGGAGCCGTACAGCTCCTTGAAACCGTTCATGGGCACCCGAGAGGTGCCGGTGACGAACTGCAGAAGGCGAGAGCGCATCTCGTTGGAGAAGGAGAGTACGGCGCGCCAGAACCACTGAATGATTATGTGATTCATGTGATAGTCGCCCTTGTAAAGCGTATTCTCGCGCCAATCCCTCACATCGATGTTCTGTATGCCGCACATCAGCAGCTCCAGCTCGTGCTCGTCAAAGATCTTGATCAGATTCAAGGGAATAATTGAACCAAAGCCATCCAAAAAGGCGGACATCTGCTCCTTGACGCGTGCCACAAAACGCCATTCGATAACAAGTCTGGGTTCAAAGAAGCGTTCTCAGTATATAGCATAGAAGAGGGAATTATTATTGCCAACTCACTTGATATACTCATCCTTGTTGTCGTTGGTCACGTCTATGTTGGCACCACCCGGCTTCAGTTCGTGCTGGCTCTTCTGGCCAAAAACGTCCTCGTCCAGGCAGAAAGTCAGTTCCAGGATGCGAGGATCGTTCTCTTTGATCCACATGAGTGAGTTGTAGTACTCAGTGTCCACAGACTCCATGTCCTTTAGGTCAATGGGCTTCTGCAGCATCATCTTGTAGAAGGGACGAATGAAGAAGGCATCCAGCAGCTTGCCATGGTACACAGCCATGCCCGCAATGCGGCCAATGAATCTATTACAATATTGATTAAGTTTCTGTCTTAAAATCTTGAATTATTACTTACTTAAAGTAACTTAAATGCTCCTCGTTGCACAGACCACTGCCATTGTTTATCTGCAGCGTATAGTTGTCCATGGCCGAGTACTCAAAAAGTCCGTAGTAGGGATTGAACATTTCCTTTGACAGCAAATAGAACCACTCCCTAGCAAGGCCACCATAATCTGTGATTCAAATCAGAAACATTATTGGAAACACCTTGATAAAAGAGCGTCTTAACTTACCTAAGCCAGTCTCTCCCTCAAACTCTACCCATAATTTAGTCTTTAGTAAATCGGTCTTGGTCACCGAGCTAATAATTCTGTACGAATCCTCCAGTATGGATGTACGGCGTATGCGTATTTCAAATTTATTTGGTACATTTGTCTGAAAAGAAGGTTAAAGAAGGGTTTAAAGGCATGACACAAATATTTGTTAAAATAAACTTACAGGCTTTCTAATATGACTCTTGAAATACTCGTATTTCTGTTTGTAGTCTCTCGAGTACGGCACAGCCTGTCCTGCAATATTAGGATTGGACAGGCGAGGATCCTCCCACTGAGTGGTTCGCGTGTCTGCAAGAAGAGAAAGGGGGAGGATGATATAACAAATCGAACTTATTCTAAATTGAGTTGGAACTTACTATGATCTATGTAGAACACTCGACCATCGGTGTGCACACGCTCCTCCCAGCCCTCTGGCAACGGACCCAGATCATCCTCGACGCGTCGTGTCTGATTGGGCATGGGACTGGCCCGTCCGTTGCGTGGATCGATCCAAGTCGTACGTCGGGCTGCGTGATCAATGAAGAAGGTCCGTCCGTTGGGGGCCACCTGCATGGACCAGCGTGGTGGCAACGCTTCCTCCTCGCCGCCGGCATTCTGCAAGAGAAGGAAAAGCCAGATGGCATTAGTAAAATTCGGGATTGTAATTTTCGATCACATGCAGAGAGTTCTAATCAAGGTTCTCCGAGTGCTCTTAATAATATGTTATAGAGAAGAACTTTACTTGTTCCATGGGCGGCACAGCGGCGTTGTCTTCCTCGGAATTGCGTCGGGTGGACGGAGCTGAGATCTCTGAGGGATTGTGGCTGTCTGTATGATCGGTGTCTTCATTCTGGTCGTTGGTGGATGAAGTATTTTAATTGATATACATATGGATGCATTGCATTTGCGTTAAATTATGTTTTTGATTGTTTTTTGGAAGAAACAGAAAAGAACAAGTGTTTTTAGGAAATTAAAATCAAGTTTTCAATTAGTAAAATCCATCAAGAAACACAAATCAAGCGAAACATAGAAACAAAGCATTTAAACTAATATATACATGTATTTAGGATTCAAGTTGGCAACTTAAAGATACAAAAAGCGCTGCAAATAAAAGCTTTATGAGGTAGTAAGAGTAAATCGAGTTTAGTTGAAGGAACATGCAGGCAGCACAAACACAGTGCAGAGATGCTGGCGGGAATGGAGATGCGGATATTCGCTTACCCCTCGGAGTGTTTGGTTACGTATCTTAACCCATGAACCTCAACACATAGACACAGAGTTATGGAGTCAGAGAGAGGAACACTGACAGATTTTGCGGCGCCAAAACAATTTCAATTATCTAACCGGAATCGAACACAAACGAACAAGAGGAGGCACACAATTATGGTTTCAAAAGCTACAAATGCAATGGAACAAGTGCTGACCAATGAGGCGGGTTCTGGTTGCAACTGCAATTGCAACTGACGTCGCCGCCGATGCTGCAGCTGCCGCTGCCTGGGATGATCCACATCGAGCTACAAGTGAAAATGAATGGGAAAGTTGTGTGTGTGTGTGTGCTGTGTGTTGTGTGAGTGTGCTGTCAAGGCTTGCTAACCAATATTCTATTCTCCCGCTGCTGCTGCTGCTGTTGCCTCTGCTGATGCTGCTGGATGTGCAGCTGCATCTGCTGTCGCCGCCGCTGTTGCTCCTGTTGCTGCTCACTGGTGCCAGCCATTTTGGCCACGGCCCGCCGGGTCAACAAGCTGTTCATGGCAATATCCGGCACTGCCGGCGCCACACGCACCGGTCGCAGATCGTTCTGCAAACTGGTCGCCGAAATCTCAGGCGTCCTATGATCGACAGGATGTCGCAGGGAATTGTAAACAAAACTGAGTTCATGAAAGATAGAGCACACAACGGAATGGGGAAAATTAGGAAGAATGGCTACGAAGATTTGGGTATAGGATGGGATCATCATTGGGGTTTTTTACGGGAAACGGACAACACGGACAGAGGATTTGGGAGCGGAATGGTTGCTAAGCGGATGAGGGATATTAACCTGGTTTGATCCACTGTGGAATCATCGTTATAAACATCCTCCTGACCCTCTAACAACTCCACATGACTGATACGGTTTCCATTGTTATAGCTTGTGTTGTGGTTCATTGGTGTGCTGCTGGGTCCTGCTGAGATCGTAGGTGTTGTGTTGCCTTCCTCTGTTGTTGATGTTGTTGTTGTGGATATTGTTGTTGATATTGATGGTGTAGGGGTTGGAGTGGTGGCCCCGCCAGCCACATTGTTATTGTCTTCTATACTAATGCGACTGATGGTATCCTACATACATATACGGGGTAAGGGTTAGTGAAGGAGTTCAACCAAACTAGCATATTTCTAGGGCCTAACTCTAACATCTAAATGAGATAAGCAATCTTCAAGAGCAGTAAGCTTAGGCTCTTTTACTTAGAAACTAACGAGCGATACAACTGTGGGGTTCTTTTCACATATTTCTTAGCACATCAAGGTTAAAAATATGTAACAAGTAACCCCTAGAATATGGTCAAGAACTTTGTCATTACGAATATGCGTGTCAGGTACAAATTCCTATCGAGTATATCACAAGTTTGAGCTTTGGGGATGTGGCAGCCAAGGGCTGATCAGCATCAGGAGGTTCCTCTTCCGCTTCCTCATCCTCCTCATCATGCTCCTCCTCCTCCTCCTCATCTTGCTCCCCTTGATGGACCTCGCCGCAGTGCAGACAGTTGGCCTGATTATTCTGGAGATCTGCCACCACCTCCTCCCCATTATCCGCCTCCGCCTCATCCTGGCTGCTCTCATCGCTTGCCAGTGTCTCCATTTGGGCCGCTTTGTTCCTCACCGACCTCTGCGGCTTGTGGTTTGTGGGTTTTTTGTGTTTTTGATTATTGGGTTAGTACGGTTCAAAAGTGCATTTCGAGTGTGTGAGCGTTGTGTAAATGGAATTGGTAATTAGTGTATGTGTGTGTGAGTGTTCGATGCGGAAAATTTCAGAAAAATCATGCACGAAAATCAAAGTCAATTGCTCAATCTCACACATGCATTATTGTAGGTATAAATACGTAAACAATTGTAGATTATATATTGAAGGTTTATACAGAATATACTCAAGGTAATTAATAATGTTAAGAGTCCCGAAAGACTAAAGCATTTCCACACAGATGCAAACTGTAGAATAGCATTTCCACTTACCGCCGAGCGTCCCGACTCCGTTTCGTCCACGCTAATGTGAAAGCGTCTTTGGAAGTCCGAGGCCAATTGGTCAGCGGATTGGCTGCTGTTGCTGTTTAAGCTGAAAAAAAGAGAGAAAGGAGTAGAGTTAGGAATGTATATTGGAGGAAAAGGTTCAATAAAATACATAGACAACAATATTTATATCAAAAATATCAAAACCTTTGATATATCCCAATATAAAATATCGAAATACCTTAAATAAATACCTATATTTTTAAAAATATATGTTTCGTGAACAAACATAAAGAAAAAACTAAAATTTAAACTAATTTCCGTAAGCTAAGATTTGTATACCTTGCAGCCTGTAATTCGACTTGGAACGAATTTGTAATTGTTCATAACTAAGCCAAAAATTGATTAATTTCAATTCGGAAAGCGGGACTGTGCTAGTTTTTAAAAGGAAAACAAATCTACATACTCAGTTTATAAAGTGAAAAATTAAATTTTTTGTCAATTTTTAACAATTTTAATGATGTAACCCCTTATCGTTTTTTCGAATTTTCGGATAATTTTTAAAAATTTACATTTTCCCTGGACATCAGCTGTTAATGCTGATCAAGAATATATATGGTTTATAGGGTCGGAAATGACTTCTTCACTTATTTTTAAGCTTCTGAATGAAATAATAATACCTTGAAATGGTATAAAAAATAAACCATATTCGTGCATATATCGCCAAGAACTCAGTCTTTTTTAACCAATATTACTCCTACATTTGATGTTATTCTTCAATTACAAAACATAAACAATTAAATTCTCCTTAAATTTCCACTTAATTCAATTTCCTCTCCAACTTACATGGTTGGTCTCTCCCACTGCGTCGTCCTGGCGGTGTGATTCACATAGTACGTGCGTCCATTGGCATCCTGTCGCTCCTCCCAGCCAGCGGGCAAGGCATCGTGGCCGCCAGTAGGAAAAGGATTCTGTGTCAAGGGGGAATAATATAATTAATATTTACATTTCAAAGGGTTTGTTTTTAGGTTTTATGTTTTTTGTGTAAGTTTATTAGATTTGCTCACTTACCGGTTGGGCTGAGGTCTCGCCGCTGGCATTGGTGGCTTCCACATGCTCCCACTCGCCGTCGCTGTTGCTATTGCCGCTAGACGGCTCGCTCTGCTCCCGCGTCTCACGGATGAAGGCGTGGTAGATGCGCAGGGTGCCCTTGATGCGGGACTTGGCGCTGCTGGGACACAAGGGGGACCAACGAGGGCGACAAGGTAAATATTAATGAGCCAACCAAACAGGTGCACAGACAACACCGGGCACACCGCCACCAATGCAAATCCCACATGTGGACGCTCACACACAGACGCACACACGGGTTAAAAACAATAAGTATTATACTTAAAAAAGCGTTAACTAAAAATAAACTTGAACGGCGTAAATTACGAGAATGCAGATACATGGTGGAATACTATGAAAATGCACAGTGCGTTTCACAACCTTAAAGCCGCTTTCACTGTCGGTGGCTACTAGATTAAGTCATTGGATCGTCCCACATGATAAGAAAGTAATTTGTCGACAAACACTTATCGAATTTAATCAGTTTAAGGTTTCTAATAAAGTGCTTTCGGCTTACAAAGTAAATAAGGTGAGTCATTATTAAGTTATAAGTTATTTTATTCACTGTCCAAATCCTAATTCATTTACAATTTATTTATTTAATTAGGAAGTTCAATTATTAATTTAAAAGCTTTTTTTTTCAACGTTTGTGTAAATATTATGAAGTATTACCCTGGCCTTATAAAAATAACTATAGTAAGGAATTTAAAACAAACTAAACCCTCACTATTCTCCTTAAAGACTAAATTTTCTGATAACATTTGCCTTTATAATTTTAGGCGTTAATCCGGTAAATCGCTTAATTATTTCCAATACATATATGTATGGGCCTAAGTGTCTGCTAGTGCAATTAGGCGACTATTGAATGGCGTAATTTAGTGCAAGCAACCAATATTGACACACACTGACACTACCTGAAAATTGCATTTTCCAATACAGTAGCTCTATTATTATTAAATTCTTGCCCTATAATGAAGGGTTTAAAGTTGTGAATAGCTGCGGAAATTCAAAGGAAAGCGACTCTATTCTAAGGCTAAGGCTAAGAGGGTGAAAATATGGGATGCTCTACGGCGACAACGACAAGATTATGGTTGCAAATTATAATTGTATACGAAGATTGCCACCTTGAGGAAGGAAGTGGGCGTGGTGATAAACAATAAACAAGGTGAAACAGGAAAAGAAAAACAAGTATGTGTAAGTTCTAAGTTGGCACTACGACGAAATTTCTACACGATCTTGATAGCTCCGTCACCAATCAACTTGCTAACATTTACAATATATCTGCCTTTTCGGAACTCATTGTATTGTATAGTATTTTATGGCTATGTATAGTGTTGGTTTTTGTAAATCAACTGAAATTAAAGAAACAAAATCAAACTGCAAACGAAATAAACCTACCCTACTGACCTGCGCGGGCGCAGAGTGTAGCTTTGGTCGCCAATGGTGCGTCCCTCCTGCTCCGTGGGTAGGTTCACTAGAGTCAACTCGACCATGCCCAGGAAGTCGTCGCGTGTCAGGCGATTCTCGTCAAATACTTGAAAGACAAGCTTATGCTCAGACGGTTTAACCTGGTCAAAATGGGTTCAAAACAATCAGTAATCATTTATGGTTTAAGCACGAATAGTTCCTGACTTACTCTGAATATGAACTCCTCGTTCCAGATGGGATTTAGGGTCTGCATGTCAAGGAAAAAATGGAAATAGAATTATATTAGTAAGGATTCTATTATATTTTATATTTAGCTTGTAGGAACCTGAATATTATATAATAATACAACGAACAACTTCCCCAATCTCAACGTGTACTTTGCACTTTTTAAAACTGTATTTATATGTTTAACAAGTGCCTGATCCCTAAAAGAGATATCTAGGCCTTAGTCATGCGATTTTACAGATAAAAGCTCAGTGTAGTTTACATTTCTATAAGGTTGTAGTAATCAAGGCCGTGACTTCTTTGTAAACAAATATATATCTTTGCCCCACAAATACAATATAATCGATAAGATAAGCTTTACTACTCCCGCGGCCTTGTAACCCGGCTTAAGACTTCGTTATTGATTTAAGAGTTTTTCTTACCTTCTTTTTGGTCTTTGTCAAAACAGAGTCAATGTTAATATCACCGTTGATTGTGTTCAAATCGATTCTGACATACGGGTCGCTGCCAAAAGGATAAAGAGAAGGTAAATTTTAATTAACCAAGATTTGATTGCGGCCTAATTAGCACACTCACCTGGCACCAAAAATATCCTTCTTGGCCAGCGACTGTCCACTGAGCACAACGATTCGCAGGTGGCACGAGTCCCCAGAGTCGTTCTGAAATAAAAGAGGGACGAAACCGAATGGGGAAAATTAGTAAAATAGCCGGCATACAAATGAGAGACACTTGTGCACGCATCGCTGGGGAAAAACAGCCGGCGGCTGGCGTCAGGCGTCAGGGATTCAATGCCGACAACGAAATAAATAAGCCACATAATAATCCTGGCCACGTGGCGTATGCTTAATGTCAGCGATTACGCATACGCCGCATGGGCCCACGCTGCGGGTGAAATTTTTTCATGCACTTTATACACATAAAAACTCATGCATTCCTTGCCTCTTTTTTTTAAATGCTCTCTGAAGGATCTGCATTATACATTCGTGTGCATAATTGTTGTGTTCGTTCGCGGCTAGATAATTTCCACGACCTTGACACATACACAAACACACGCAGCGCACACACACACACACACACAGCGTAGAAGTTCAAGAGAGTCATCAAGTAATTGTCTAGTGCAGAGAATGTGGCCCAAACTTGAGCTAAATTGCGTGCCGTGATTCATTTCGGGCCTTGGGTTTTGAGTTTCTGGCTGCGGGCTTTTGGGTCTGGGGAAATGTGGTCTATTTCATGTTGTGGCCAAGCTCTGGCTGGTAGTATGTAGTTGGAAATGTTTGAGGCATGCACAAAATTCGTAGAAAACATACATATTTTTGAGCCAAATTAAAGGGAAGTTTCAGTTCCAATTTTACCCAATTGACCCTGAGTTTGATGCTTTTATTGCGAGATCTTACATATTTTGTGGTATTCCTCTCAATATATTTAATTAATACTGTTTATTACAAAATGTGGAGGGTTAAGGTTCCTTTTATGGCAGGGATTTGCAGTACAAGGGAATTTAAAACAGCTTTGGCAGGGGATTTATTTTTATGTATAATACTCGGAAAATTAATTAAATTTTCATTCGAATTCTGTGAAAGTTATGTGGTCTACAGACTTCAAATCCAGCTTAATGGTAAATGACAGTTCAATGGAAGTCAAGACTTAATTTATTTTTCACATAAGCTGGTCTTATAATTCAATTTCATTTTCGCCATTACCACCCCTTTTGCAGAATACAAAGAAATAATTATTAAAACAAACCATACAATGTGGCACATTTTCACACCCTCAAGCTGAATTTTTCCTCTTTTCCTTATACTTTTAAGCAGTCTAAAGCGATTTAATATTTCAATTATGCATCGCCAGAGGCCAATGCTATTTTAGCAACATATTTTTGTTTACCTGTGAGAGCCAAACGCCAAACCTCACACGGCAAATGCCATTACCCAGCCACAAGGAGGAGCAAGAACGCACCTCTTGCCACTTGGCACCCCATTATTCTCTGGGGAATCGGGGAAAGGCAGAGCAGCAGCACAACTTTCTGCATTCCTAAAAGTTAAACAAAACCCATTTTATCTACTCATCTCTGTAGAGAGGAGCCTGGCCCGGGCATGGCACTTGTGTCCATTAAAAGGCTTTCCCATGAAATATTCAATTTGCCGACATTGTTTATAAAGTGAAGAGCAAACACCCACCAGCCCGCCCGCATCTCCTATTTGGTGGCTGACCAGACGGCGCCGTATCTATACCCACCCTTCACCCCCGATGTGGCCCTACATCTATATCAGATATCAGAGGCTCGCATGTTGCGGCCAGCTTTGTTGGCCGCCACATGACCCTGACTGGGTTGCTTTTTTAGACATAGTACATACATGTGCCATTTAGTACACGCTCTGCTCTGGGGAACTGAACTACTATTTCCCTTTTGGTTCCTGGGTTCTGCCTCTGTTCTGGCTTTTATTTTTGTTTTTATTTATTCGCCTCGCAGTTCCGCATTTTCCATGAACTTGTACTATTGATTTTCACCGCATGGGTCTAGGCTCTTTAAAAAAAGCTGCGGCTTTTCCCACTTGTGCAACAATTAAAGGTGCACAGTAAGAAACAAAAAAAGAAAACAAGTTTAATTGGCCAGCTATAAATAATACAAAGTAAATACTCAATAGAATAGGGAATAGTAGGGACAGGCTACCTATATTTAATATTATCTTATATGCCCAGTGAATATCCATTCAACTAATGGCCCTACTTGCTAATAAATTATTAATAAATTAAAGTAATGCAAGGCTATATATCTTATATCGCGCTTGTTATCGACGATGAGCTGAGCTAAGCTAATGCGCAATATTGGATGCCAGATGCCCCGTCTGTGGAGACGCGATTATTGCCTGGACAAAGGTCCAATCAATCAGGCAAAGCTCCCTGGTGTCCTTGGTGACTCTGGGTAATCCCCAGGCAATTCCAGTTCCTTTATACTTTCGTCCTAAACCGCTGACCCTTCTGCAGCTGTCACGATTCCCCCACCATCTGAGCGGAAAGGCAGGAAGCCTCTGACTGAGCCACGTCAATAACTGCTACTGGCCTGGCATTAAATTGATTTTTAGCCATTAAATCTGGAACCGAGGGAAATTAGCTTAACACTGTTCTTGCGGTTTAAGCCAGTTTCCCCTTAGATTGGCAGTGGGCGGCAGAATTCCGTTAATTAAAAGGGATGTCCGACATAATTATCCGGCTCGGGCTCTACCTCTGGCATTGCATTGTGCTGCACTGCCCACTGCCAGTTCATCTTCGCTTGATTGACTGCCTTTACAGTGGTGAATCGAAATAGAAAACAGAAATGCTCTCAACTATTGTTAACTAAGGCTAAGAATATAAGCAATTTATCACTTAAAACTATATAATTTAGAAAATACTACGTCTTTTAAACTTTTATCTAGTCTTAAAGGCAAAATTAAAGTACATTTGCTATAATATCTTGCCTTTATTGATTTGTGCATTGCTCTTGCACTTTTTAATCACTATTCTCGATTTTTTTGGCTACTGGAATAGGAAACTCCTCCACTACGTCGCAGCTGAATTCGATTATCAATGGGCGAAATGCCAGCCGTTCATTATCAGAGTTGTTGGCAGGCATTGACTGACTGTTGGTGGCGTTTCGGATGACCATGTGACATCCATCCAACCCGAGCAGTAACCTGGAAGCCAGCGCCACAATCCATTTTCCAGTTTGCCTTAGTTTTCCACCACTTTTATATTGACCATGCCAACACCAAATGAATGAATAATGAATTATAAAAATATATATGTGAATAATCATTCAGCTGTGCGCGCTGATAAGCAAAATCGAGAGTGTGCGACGACGACGACGAGAGCGAAAAGAAGTCAAGGTATTCCATCTACGGAAGCCCATGTTCGTTGTTCTTAACTCTTCTTTTTCGTCTGCTGTTTAAACAGACTGCTTAAGGGAGATAATAAATACATACCAACAACGGAATTAAGCACAAAACCCAAATATCAATTTGTGGCCAGTTTTTAATTTTAATGCGCACAATAAAAAAGTAGAAAGAAAAGAATCTGAAAATCCAAGTGAGTGTGGCGCAAAGCTTAGGCGCTGCCATTAACCTAATTGATTGGTTATCGCCCCACCACAACCACAATACACACTTGTCACACTTTTCATGGGGTCAATGCAAATTCATTACACAAATTGACATTCTCTGCCGTGCATTTCGTTTAGATGATAGATACATTCAACATTTCATTTGCTTTGATACAGCAGATACAGATACAGATACAGATGCTTTACGAATCCCATAGTGGAAGAACAATAACCAGATAGAACTGACATTGAAACACTATTGAATGTATAGGGAAGGGAGTGTGTGTCAAATATCTACATACATCCAGTGCTATAAATACACCGACAACAACGATATATATCTCAATGACGTTAACAAATGCAAAGTATGGCTTATGTTATCAAAAAGAAACATTATTTTTTAATACTCGTTATACGTTTGTTGTGGTTCAATTGATTCTTGGAATCAAAAAATAAACTTTCAACAAATATTATGATTCCCGGGGAAGAACACTACCTACTCAATGTTAGGGTCAATATTCCTTAAATTGTCAACTATATCTATAAATCAGATACAAATATAAATCATAATGTGTTCTTTAATTAGATAAAGCAAAGTCTAAAGTCCATTGGCGATTAATCATTACATGTTTACTTTTCTGAATTCACTGTTATAAAAACACTATATAAAACAAATATGGGACTTTCAAATTAACTCAAAACTAAATAAACCAATAAAATGGTTATATCCTAATTTATCTATTAAATAATTTATATATTTAATATGGTATTAAAAATAAAAATCCGTTTAACAAAGATTTTATTTTAAATAATAATAAAAAATGTTTGAAGGTCCTGTGAACTAAACTACTAAAAAGGTTGTTATAAATATATATCTTACGAAGAAAGGAAACTAACATTAGGAAGCCAAGATATATAATTCCCTGCAGTTTGTAATTAAATTATACAATCGATTTGGAAATCGATCAAAACTAAGCTTACAATATTCGAATTTTTTAAATCTCTATTTTTTTCGACATATTGAAATTTAAAAACCTCATAACTAAGCCAAAAAGTCTGTGTTAGTTTTTAAAGGGAAAACAAATCTGCATACTGAATTTTTAAATTAAAAACATTCAATTTTTATTATCGTTTTTTCAAAATTTCAGAAAAATTTCAAAAATTTATTTTTTTTACCGGACAGCTTTCGATTCAGCTTTTAATGCTGATCAAGAATATATATGGTTTATAGGGTCGGAAATGATTCCTTCATGGTGAAATAAGCCTCTGACTTAAATTATAATACACTGCAAGTGTATAAAATGGAATTAATCATGATTCTAACCGGAAGGGATTCTCTTTAATTTCTGATAAGCATTTGGTTTTTAAGAGAATGATAATATTACCTATTCTTTAAAAGAAAACCCCTTTTAAATCTAAATATATTCCAAGAGATCCCAAATTTTAGTAATTTCAACTTAAACTATTTAGCCCATTTATTTGGGATTTGAATTCTCTCTACTTCCACCGATCATCTCAGATTTTCAGCACGCCCCTTAATCCCTGAACCGGAAAATCCGGCAAGCGATCTCGGCTAGAGAAGAGAGCGTAAAGCCGAGAGGAAAATAGAGGACAAAAAGATGGCTTAGATGGGGGGAGGAGCGGCAGGCAGGCAGGCACGTGAGACGCATCAAAGGCGGCTCAATTAGCGGCCGAAGAAAATGAGCGCACACACACTAACAGCACACACAGGCAGCTTAACATACATTCCGTACATTTGCATATGTACCGCTTACACGTACTTGCGAGGGAGCAGAAGAGTCGAGGAGGGGAGGAGCGGCATTGAGCTCTGCTCTTGCCAGTTACTTACATCACTGTTATTGTAGCCATGGATTTGGCCATCTTCGCTCGTCACCGATGGCGATGTGGTTGTTGACTCGGCCATTTTGGTTTTGGATTTTGATTGCGATTTGATTAAGGTTTGGATTTTAATTTCTGAACTTCAATCACTTCTGTTTCTGTTTACGATTTGTGTGTGTTTTGTGTTAATTTTCGTGCACGCCTCTCCTTTCAACTAAATTGAAGAACAATAAATTAATAAGCAACATGGAATATTCGCGGCTTTTGGCGGTTTAAACTGCACAAAACGGGTTAGGTTAGACAGAGCCACAAGGAATTTTTGTTCCTATTCTTACAGCAGCATTCTTTGGGTTCTTTATTATTATTTTGTTTGTTTCTGGTTTTCTGTTGTCTGTTTGTGTTTTTTTTTCACATTTTTTGGCGCACACAAGGTTTTATTTTGGTAACTCGTCCGCAGCTTTGCCTTTATGCTGCTGCACAGCCCAAGCTGCTGCAAAGGAACAGGTTTCACAACAATTGCCGTTTTTTTGGTTTTTATTACGATTATTGCGTATACGTAATGTTGGCCAGGGGGGAGAAAATATTTATAGGTCGTCCCCCGAGCCTTAATCACATTTATGAATATTCCCGCGAATTAAAGGCAAAGCATGACTAATAGGGCGCCCAGCCAGAAGAGAAAGAAGCAGATTCCGAGTGAATTTCAACAGATTTCGCCGATACTCTCGGACTGTTGCTTTTCAGATACGTACGTTTATTTACTTTTTTCTTGCCTCTTTTTTATATAATTAACACATTTCAGGGGTACGGGTGCGATGCATTAGCCCGCAATAAATTGATCTATACTGCGTATATATTTCGTATTCGTATTCGTATATATTTATAATTCAATTATTCACTTATTTATCTTTTATTAACGGCCCTAAGCGATAGAAGCACCAATAACAACAATAACAAACGAACCAACACTATTGCGAAAACATGTTCTGCGTAAATCTCTCGGCCTCTCGCTCGCTCCCGCTGCGAGTGTGTGTGGTGCAAGTGTGAGTGCGAGCGGAACAGCAAGAGCAACCAGCAACAGCACAACACTTGTCGGCAGCCGCTGCACGTAACTTTCAGCTAACGCGTTCTAAGCTAAAATGGAGGCAGCTCCCCCAACAGAGTGTGACCAGCGCACGGTATGCCCCCAAATGGGGGAAAGCTTTCATATTTTGTGTGACCAAAATGACACAACATTAATTGTTCTCAGCATCGACTTACATTTATTTCTATTGAAAGTTCAATAGTTTAATGGAATTTACTAGGTTATCTTAAATTTATGATGTGTATTTTAAAGACATTTTAAATATTATTATAGATTTGAAGACTCCAAAATATATAAATGAGTTGGTTTGGTAGTATCCAAACTTTTAAGTCGTCCTCTGACTACTTAATAAGATTATTGAAAACTAAAATATGAACAATTAATTCATCATAAAAATGTTCTAAAATTAAATATAAATACAATAAAATATTATTTAAATTTATTTCAAATATTTATTGACTTTAATTTTGTGATTTGGAATATTTAATTAATAAAAAATTTAATGATTCAAAAATACCGAATACCATTTCCACACTTTTCAACACTACAACCCAAGCTTTCAGCTGCTGAGAAAAGCTGGCCAAGTGACAGCTAAGATATTTTGCCCCTTCCACTCACATCCATCCCACCATTCTGCCTCTCTTTCACTCTGGACAGCTGCCAGCGAACAAGTGTCCAAGGCAAAACAAAACAAAAACAGCTGATCGGCAGCCGAGTTTGGTTGTGTGCGTGTGTGACGTATCTGTGTGTGTGTGCATCTGAAATTTGTATCTTTTGCATGAAGATATATAGAAACAAAGAATATAAATGTTGAGCTAAGTAGCGCATCATCAATTATAATTGACATTTGACTGCTATTTTGCCGGCTCTCTTGAATGACGCAATGACGCAATGGATTCCAATTCCAAATCCAATTAACCTCGTGTAAATAGCCAACTGTTGACTGATAAGCGGCCCATTAGGCCAATTTGTTGAGCAATCAGTGACGTAGAGCTTGGACAGGTGCGTTCGCCGTTCGTTTGACGTGCGAATTGGATTAAATAACCCAACATAGACGAGCTCTCAATTAGCGGTGCCCCCCACTGGACACAAGTGCTCTAATGAAGATAAACCTATATATTCATGAGATACAGACATACATACAATGCTAGGAATTCCTGCCATTTCTCTGACAACGCTTAAATAAGTTAGGCAAACAGAATTGGGAAGGCGCCGAATTACCGTTCATTGAGTAAACACACTGGGGTAAAAAATCTATAATAATATATCTGACATTTCTGGTTTAGAAAAAGGAAATACAAAAATATGTAATTTAAACGGTTAAAGTGTACAATTTAATTAAACGAAATGAACAAAAACGGAAACTATAATAGCTGTTGGCGAATGTTAATTTTGTACATAGACCCTTATCTACCTAGTAAACTACCTATTTATCTTTTTAATTCCACATGACTGATGAGTAATATAAATATTTACACGGTACAAATAATTATTGCAATATTTAGAATTTCTATTCAACACATAGACTTCCCTTTAGGTTTATTATTTTCTCTCTGTGCATTAAACGAAGGCAATTTACGCACATTCACATTCAGATGGAGACGTAGACGAAGCGATGGCCAAGTCTGTGTTGATAAATTCAATTAGGTCTGCAGATTTGCCGATGAAGACTGCTCTCGCTCAAGTGGCTCGCATCTTTTGGCAAATTAAGATAAATAAATAAATTCCCGTTTAGTCTGAGATCTCGATGCGAATTATTTGTTTACACAAGTGAAGAAAACAATAGTGTGAAAGAAGCGCACATTCCAGACACTAAATAAACACATCTTGAGGCGTGTTTTTTCCTCTTCGCTGGTGGCGCTGGATGCTTATCAGACTGTTTTTTTTTTTTGGACGAAGCGGGGGAAAGTGCAAGTGAAAAGCTCGAAAAACCACTTGGAATACAAGGGGTTTTTATTAAGGCCTCAAACTAATAGTTTAACATTTATCTGGTTATTCAATTTTTGTAAAAAATCGACTTGAATATAGATTCAATCTCTTAAATGCATTGGCACCCTTAGTTTATGGAAAATGAGAAAATGAGTAATGCTCAAAGGTATAAAAACACAGAATTTATTGTTTAATTTCATGATTTTCCGGTTAAACGGTTGAACCTGGTGTAGATCCCCTTTATTCCCGACTTTATACCCTACTTTATCACCCTTGAATGGAATCTCCGGGGCTCATCTACACGACTCAGCTGTTTGGCAAGCTGCAGATTAGATTAGCAGTGAAAACATCGTAAAAATAGAAACACCACATAAAGCGGAGGCAATGATAAGGCGTAATGAAATCCCCCCCCCCCCCCCCGCAACCTCCTCTATCTTAGCTTTTCCCCTTTTTATGTTACCTATTCGACACAGAAAACAATTCTGGATATGGTTTAAAGATAGTTTCCGGCAGTGTAATGGAAGATAAACGATATAGAGGACTGAAATTTAAATTTTGGGCTCTCTTCAGCGGAAAATGATTTAATATTTGTTAGGAATATTTAATAAATATAAAATGCACTCACCACTGCAGCCAACGATCGACGTGGCGTGTGTCCGTTGCCGAATTCCAGGCGCGTCTGCTGTTGTCCTGCAACAGAGGCGGCTCTCCTCCGCGGCGGTGGGCGTGGCACATCGCCACCTGACGTTATGGCCGCCGCCGAGGAGGATGATGAGGGGATGGGTAGGGCAGCAGCGGCAACCAAGCCGCTGGAACGTGCCGACATTATTATTGTTGTTGTTCTTTTTTAAAAAAGAATCTGCAAAGAGAGAGAGGAATGTGTGAGTGAGAGGCGTATAAAGTGCAACGGAGGCGGAAGTGCAAATTAAGCGAGAAAAGACACGAGTGGCTAATGGCTGGCGGGGAAGAGGCAGCTGCAGGGGCTTGCGACAATGGCTTGGAAGCTGTGACAAGACAAGGCCAAAGTGAGAAGTGCGAGAGGCGAGAAACGTAAAGAAAAGAAAAGCGACCAGAACAGACAACAAAGAGGGGAGCAACAAAAGTGCACAATGGACGGCGCGGGCGAACGGTACTTGTGCTAGATGCCATCTCTCTCTGCCGACCGCCCTGTCCTATGCCCCTGTGCAAGCACGGTGTGGGAGAGACAGAAAGAGCAAGGGAGTAAGCGGCGCACAAAAGCCAAACATTTTCCTTGACAAGCAGCGCCTGCAACAACTACGGGCGTAATTAGCCAAGCGCGAAGGGTTCAACGGCATGTCTTCTAGCCGTGTGTCTCTGACTCCAGCTCCTCCTCGTTTATCTTTTATGGCTCGGTTTCGCCCAAGTTTTTCACTTACTCTTCTAGCACACACACACGCCGCACTATAATTTCGCTTGATTTATGTATATATTTGCACCAGTATGTGTGTGAGTGTGAGTGCGGGTTGGCCTTTTATCCACTATGTGCGGAAAATCATCACGAAAAATCTTCTATTCACACGGCGAGTATTCCGGCTATCACGACAGCGCGCTCACATGCCTTGAGTCGCCGATCTGGGGCGTTGGGCGGCGGCTATAGCTGCATACATATGTCGCACGCGAGATCGAAAACAATAATTTAAAAACCGCACACCGGACTGAAAAACACGCAAAACGACGGGACAAAAATCGAGAACAAAACTGCCAGACGGACCAGAGCTTCGCAGCCACTAAAATACCGCCGCACCAAGAGGCGTTATCGTTCGCAGTATTACACTCGGAGCTTATAAGCAGCAGATTTAGATTAAATAAAGCCTATATTAGGAAAGAATCTATGAATACACAAAACTTTTTTATTGATTATTGCTGCAAAACTCGTTTTAAGCTACCCTGTATTATACTGCCACGCTGCCAGCTCGGTATATTTGAAGTATTTTCCCACCAACGATGAACGGCCACACGAAAGCAGTGAAAATCCAAATGAAACGCGAAAGCTAATAAATAAAAGTGTTGCAAATTGCAGTTGTTGGTGCATTTAAACCCAAGCGAGTGTCAGAATTTCTAGCCCATTACCGCCCACAGCTAACACAATATATACAAAGCCCCTGACAGACATTTCCAGCCATCAAAACATCCGAAAAAGCCAGAGCGGCAAGAAGAAGAGAGGTGCGTGGTGCGTAGTTAGTGCGAAATTGCGTATTAGGAAAGAAAACAACAACAACAACAACAAGGCAGCAAGACGGCTTCGAAAGCCAGTGAAAAACTGCAAACGCGGGCAACAACAAACATTTAGCACCGAAGCAACAACAGCCAGCTAAGATCAAATATCGGGTATTATCGAACGACAGACAGCAGGTTACATGGGTCTGACGGATCAAGACTGGATCGGCTGTGCGGTGTCAATAGCCTGCGACGAGGTGCTCGGCGTCTTTCAGGGCCTGATCAAGCAGATTTCCGCCGAGGAGATAACGATCGTTCGCGCGTTTCGCAATGGCGTCCCGTTGCGCAAGCAGAACGCCGAGGTGGTGCTCAAGTGCACCGACATCCGTAGCATCGATCTCATCGAGCCGGTCAAGCAGGACGTCGATGTGCAGACGGCGCCGGTAATCAACAAGCCCACGCCAGTCAAGCTGCCCCATTTCTCGAACATCCTCGGCAAGCAGCAACAGCTTCAGCTCCAGCAACAGCAGCAGCAGAAGCAACAGTTTCAGGAGCAAGATTACGACCTGGACCAGCCACTGACGCCGCGAAACAAGGCCAATGGACATGGACGAGCAGCAGCAAGCGGAAGCGGAGCAGCTGGATCGGCATGTGGGGCGTCCTCGTCACGTAACAACTACAACTCGACGCTAAGCGACAAGATGCACCAACTAAAGCTCATCGAGACGAATGGCACTAATGGCATAAGGAGGTATGAACTTTATAATCTTTGGGTATCAGCATTTCTTATCCTTTCCATTAACTCTCTCATCCTTACTGACCTAGAACACCGCAGTCATCCCGGGCGTCTAGTGCCCAGCAGCAGCAGCCAATGTCGACAACCCCGAACAGCGTAGCCGCCTTCTTTGGCAATATGATTCCGGCCAAGGTGGAGGTGAAGCTAGGCGCCACTGCTTTCGGTAGTAACACGCGGGAGAGCTACTGCAGCAGCAGCGGAGACAGCGGTGAGGCAGGTGGATTGCTCTTAGGCAGCAGTGCAAGCAGCAGCAGACCCATCGACATCGTTAGCAACGGAGACGGCTACTACAAGCAGGCAGCCTCCAGCTGCGGAAATGGTAATGGCAACGGCAAACGGAATGGCAACATTAACAATAATAACAACGGCAATGGCTCCTACACCAATGCGAATGGGAATGGAAATGGTAACGGAAAGAACAAACGGAACAGGGTGCGACGGGAGAGCAGCATGCGCCTGGTTCAGCAGACATTCGGCACCGAGGCAGACGATCCTCTAATCCACGAGGACTTTGATTTTGAGGGTAATTTAGCGCTGTTCGACAAGCAGGCTATTTGGGATGACATCGAGTCGACGCACCAGAAGCCAGATGTTGTGCGCCATACTGTGAGCCATCATCGCCATCAGCAGCCGGAGGAGAAGTACCGGCACGATGAGAACATTCTGGCCAGCAAGCCGTTGCAGTTGAGACAAATTGAGAGCATTTTCGATGGCAGCACAGACTTTGTGACGGACGACGGTCTGATTGTGCCGACGATTCCGGCCTATGCCCGGAATAAGATTGAGTTGAGTGCCGATAAGGCAGGCCTCTCGTTGCAGCGTCAGATCGACATCTTGGCACGAGGGGCCAGCGACCTGGCCATCACACTGCTGGGCGGTGCCAGACGCTTGACGCCGGCCAACAATCATCAGTGGCCGAAGATAGCCATCATTTGCGATGGCGTTAAGAACATGAGGTGAGCTTTGCTTAGTTTTGGCAAACTTGAGAGCCTTAACCGTGGTGTATTTCTGCAGGGCAATCAACATTGGGGCGGCAACAGGTCGCCAGCTGGCTTCTCACGGCCTAACCGTCTTGCTGTATGTGGAACAGGCGAAGCTGCTGGAGCAGAACAGCATCAGCGCTGAGATTTCCCTATTCAAGGCCACCGACAATGTCATTGTTTACTCGGTGGATGGTGGGTGTTGATCATCTAAGTTAATATAAGATAAGATTATATCCAAAATCTTCTTTCGTAGCCTTGCCTACGCCAGATCTTGTGATATTGTCGACCAACACCGCTAATCTATCGGATGCGGTCAAGAAATGGCTTAGTGTTAATCGGTAGGGGATTTGTAAGTGAAATTTTAGTTCCAAATTAATTGGCATTACTCTCAACAGCGCTTCAGTGTTGGCCGTGGATCCGCCACCCTGTGGCATCAACGATGTGGCCATCAAGTACTCAATTTTGCCCATATTACCATTAAATGGCATATCAACAGCATCATCATCCTCGTCGGCGGCTGCTACACCAACGCCAGTTGCCAGCACATCATCAGCAGCAGCAGCGGCGGCAACCAAGTCAGCATCAGGATCAGCATCAGCAACATCAACGAACAATTGTGGCAAATTGTATTTATGTAATTTAGGTATACCGGATAAATTCTATCGTGATTGTGGCATTAAGTACAAAAGTCCATATGGACATAAATATGTGATACCGATTCACTCAAAGGACTGAAACAACGACAACAACAACATAAACACCAACATACACCAACATTTTGAACAACAACAGCAATCAAAACATCCCGCATCAGCAGTAAGGGAATACCATTAAACACAAAACCAAGAAAAACAAACACCAACAGCCAGAATAAGTGAACACCATTAAAAACAAAACCAAGAAAAAAACAATAACAATAATACACACAACCCGCACACTTGTGATGATCATCAAGTCCAGTTTCCTGTGAATCTAGCTCTTAGTAGTATCTTCTTCTCATCATATATTACTCTCAAACCCGACATTTTGTTTTACTAGTTACTAGCTAGTTCCATGCATCAGCCCCTTATATAGTATGCCTGCTTAGTTATCGTATCTATACATTTTTCGGAATTAATTAAAAGCTGCCAACCTACTATTAGTTTTCCTAAGATTAGTCCTTCAGTTTTTTTAAAACAATTATTAAAGATATATTTTATGGCACAGCAGCCCTCGGTTCTGTCAAGCGCTAGTCCAGCATTTATATAAGTTTCAAAAGCTTTAGTTTAGATCAATTTGTTCGAAAACATTCAACCCCCATCATTAGACACAGACTTTAAGGCCCTTTACTTTTGATTTGTACTCCTTCCATTTTATTGTCCTTCCCGCAAGTGGTCTTCATAATCATAATCAAGTAAAGATATCAGGCGATGATAAATTGTTGTGTAAATACCTGTAATATTATATGGGGAGGAAGCGACGGTCATGTTAATTAATATCAAGAAGTATGCGCAATAAATGCCAAATTCAATGTCTAATTTTAAGCATTAAATCAACAGCAAAAGCAACCAACTATTGTACGATATAACAAAAGCAAAACAAAACGGAATGCAAATCCAAGTATAAATCAAATCAGTTACTTAAGCTAAGTTAGTTGTGTAAGCTTCAAGTGTTTAAGAACCTTTAACAACACACTGATATAGCGAGATAATGAGGAAAACACTTTCTATCATGTAGAGTTATTTAAGATGTGTCTTTAAGCGAGAAACTAAAAGTCGAGAGCATAATTTTTTACCCATCGAATACTAAAAAAAGAAACAAAAGTAAACCACAACACAAAACGTATATATACTCTAAATCTAAATCTAAACTTTAGTAGAACGATGAATTTTATATAAGATTAAATCCAATCAAATAGTGCAAAATTTTAGCAGGTTGCGCGACTCAGCAAGGCGACAACCAAAAAAACAACCCAAAAGTAAACCAATTTGTTGTAAACACATATAATTATAATTGTAATTGTAAATGTAACGATACCAACCAACCAGCAACACACAAGTAGACTCTAAATTCCAATCATGTTGATGATCATCTGCAAACTCAATTTCCAAACAAACAAAAAAAAGAAAAACCATCAAAATATATTGTAACAGAGAGAGAGTTGAATGCGGACCAACTGCAGGTCTCGCAGTGACTGTTTTGAGTTAGGCGTAGAAGGAGGAGGAGGAGGGTTGACCAGACCCCAAAAGGATGTTAGTGGAGAGCGGATGAGAAGGTTTTCCAAAATTCCACAACACACCAACAACAAACTACAACCGAACAGAACACGAAACACAAACATCCAGAGATTTTGTGAACGCTTTAAAATTGTGGAAATACATAATATATATTGATCTATTTTCGGGCCAATTGAAATTGTTAAACAAAAGAATGAAAACTTAATTTTAAAATTTATACAAAAAAGACAAAAATTGTAAAAAAAATTCTCTTTTGGAACAAAACGTGTAAACTCAAAATTAAGCAGAAGAAAACAAAAGCGGAAAAAAGAAAACACAAAAAGAAAGTCCTTTCCAAAACGAAACAGCAATATTTAAAAAAAAAAGAAAATACAAACAACACCGAGAAGCCTTCTCATGGAAAAAACAAATTATACGAGTTTTTATTTGGGGGTGTTATCAATGGTACCTTGTAAGGGAGATAAATAATTTCAGATTTTAAAAAGCTTATACAATTTTCTGGTCTATATTAGGTATTTATTTTTTATATTATTGATTCACTAAATTGAGTTGTTCTGCTCGATACAAAGAAGTTTTGTAAGATTTGTTTATTATTCTTATCATCTTTCAGTTAAATTATCTAGCAATTGGTATATATGTAAATGTGAAATAAAAACTAAGCTTTAAGGAAATCAGACTTTTAAACATATAGTAGCCATCCTTACTTTTGTTATATGAAAGTTTCCCCACTTTAAAAATTACCTTATAACCGTGAAATTAAACCCTCTTAACCAGGGCAATTAGCAATAACAAACTGACCATTTCATATAATTCAAGTGCAATTTTATTACAATCGGCTTAGATCCATAAAGATAATTAATTTAGATCTTACATAAAAGAGAGTGTTTTGTGTGTGATATTTGTAACTTAAGAGTGTGTGTGTGTTAGGACAGTGTTGTTTGGACTTACAATTTAGATAAAAAACAATATAATTACGGGATAGATATATATTTATAAATAGATATATTAGTTATCGTTTTCAATCGATTCTTACCCAAATAGTGGCAAATAGGACCAAACACAAATAACTCTTTACACTGCTCTCCCTGTCGAAAGAAATGAACCAGAAATACAGAAACAGAGACAGACATTCTGCCCGTCCGTCTTCGATGATTATAGAATTTGTTTTCAGAGATTAGTCCCCCGAATACTCACATATATGTATATATAACCATGGACACTGTACTGATCTGAGCCCCCATATGGATCGGCAGCACCACAAAACACATGGATTTTTGTCGAAAAATGTATAGTTATGAACAGCTACGAGAGTTTAAATTAATATTTTTCATTTTTATGATGGTTTTCTTTAAATTTTTGGTTTGTTTAGAGAGTCTGGAGCAATACGTACGTTGGGATCTGGATCGCCGAGAGAACCCTACAGAGTCTGGGAGTGTTATCACAAACGTTATTGCATACGTACCACAAAGTCGTGATCTTCTAACAATAATACGTACCCAAAAAACGCATAAAAACACAATACTCTCTCTCTCTCTCACTGAGGACGATTCGAAATGGATACGTACCCAAGCTATAGTTTAACTGGATTATCTATGTTATATATGTATCTGGCTAACAATTATCTGGTATATATGGTAAATAGTCACCTCGCACCATACTCAATACGTACCAAGCGGCTGCAAAATGTGGAAACTTCGAGTAGAGAACGCTTTAGCTTTAGGGTTACAAATCAAATCAAATCAAATCAGATCAGAGCAGTGATAAGAGTGTCAGAGTTATAGAATATGGTGGACAGGCTTACCCCAAAAGTGGGACGACAGCGATGCACCGCCAACACGTCGAATCGATTTGGGGAGAACGACGACGTAACCTGAGCTGAGAAGAGTATATATAGAGACGAGTGTATGGTCTGGTTGTGGTTGTGGTTGTGCCTGTTCTTGGGTGTACCTTCCTATACAACACACAAAATATCAAATATTAAAAGGGGGTTAAGTCCTTCTCATCCTAACTGAGGGGTAACTACTGCTCTCTACTTGGAACTACCGCGTCTATCTCTTTGGGGGTTTCTGTTTTCGGTTCTGGGGTTTGTTGGGTTTAGTTGTATTTTTTGTTGGGACTTTCGAACAGAGTTTAATTCGTTTTATTTCGGTCTTTAAGAGGTTAAAAGGAGCGTAAGATCAAGAGTAAAAATTATTAACATTTCCAAGGTTGGTTGGATGATTAAGCTACGAATATATTCTCGATTGCTGTTGGCTTTTCAGTAGTTCTTATTTTTTGTGGTGGCATTGTAGTTGTTCTGATTAATGCTACGTACGTGCGCTGTGACCAGGGACTCCTCTAGCGGCGGTTGTAGCGTTCACGGGAGTAGGAGCGCCTTCTGTTGCCATTGCCGCCGCCTCCTCCACCGCCACCGCCACCGCCGCCACCAGGTCCATCCCGAAAGTGATTGAAGTTGCGGCGTTCTCGCGGGGATCTGTCCCTGGAGCGTGATCGACGTCTGTCCTCTCGGTGGTTGCCGCCTCCTCCACCTCCAAAGCGTCCTCTGTCGTTGCGGTGTCCCTGGTTTCGATCACGATCCCGTCTGCCATCCCGATCACGTTCTCGCTCCTGCCGGCCATCTCTGTGATCACCACGGTCCTCTCGACGTCCGCCTCCGCCGCGTTCACGTTCTGCTGGCCGTTCGGGTCGTTCCGCAGGTCCATCAGGCCCCTCCTTGCCGCCCTTTTCGCCGTTGGGCCTGTCACGTTCTCGCTCCGCATCACGGATACGCATTCGCTCCCTGGAACGGGAGCGATGAACACGCGAACGACGGTCCAACTCTCGGCCACCTACAAAGTAGCGATTGCGTCCTCGTCCCTCATCGTCTCGATCGGGCATCTTACCCGTCCTCTTTAGCTCGGCCTTGCGCGGCGCCGCCGTCTTCTCCAGCTCGATCAGCTTCTCGCGGATGGTGAGGAAGCCGAGATGCAACTTACCACCAAAGTGGTCCGCCAGCCGGATATCGTTGTCGTGGATGCCCAGGTAAGCGGAGCAGACTTCGCACACGCGCAACTTCTGCTGCTGGTACGTCGATGCTGGCATGGATGTGCGGTACTCGTGCTCTGCTTTAATCTTCTTGCCGCGCAGCTCGTCAATCTCCTTCATCAGCTCCATGCTGTCCTCTACCTCACCAGCCTCGCCTAGAGCCTCCGCCTTAGCCAGCTTCTTGCCAATCTCCTCGGCCAGGCCGTGCACAGCGTTGGCCTTTTCCGCCACCTCGGCGGTGAGCTCCTCCTGGGTCTCCTTTAGTCGCTGCTTCGCCGAGTCTGTCCGCCGATCGCAGTCGGCAATAAAGGCCTGCAAGTGCTCCATGGCCTCGATGTCGTAGTAGTAGTCGCGCGTCTTTGCCGCGCTCTCGTAATCTGCGCGGAAAGCCAGGTCATGGACTTTGGGACACTCACCGAGATCCATGCGTGTGGACGCCAGGATGTCGTGCGGGCAGCAGTCAAGCAGGAAGGACTTGCACACCCGCGAGTCCGAGAACTTGAGCTGGCGCTCGTCCCCGTTCCGTGTGGTGCCCATGAGCTGGTCCAGCATTGCGCGCATCTGATCAGTGGCCGACATTTTGTTACTGGCTCCGCTCATTTCCCTCTCACAGACGGCGTAAAAATGGTTGCGGCGTACCGGACAGTGACAGCTTTCTCGAAGGTCCTATGACCCACTCTGGCTGGCTAAATCGGAGAAAACGTGCGAGAAAATCGGAAATTTTCACTCCGCTTTTTTTTTACCCAGGAAAATTCGTTAGTGCTGGCAAAACATTGGAGCATTATCGATACTATCGATGTTTGGATATTGTTTTCAGAACATCGATTATTTTTGCACTATCGATAATTTTGGTTTTATTTTATTTTATTAAATTGATCTATTAAAAACAACGATGTTTTTTAAACTAGTGAAAAAGAAATTTAACTATTCACTAAACATTAGCCAATAGCCAATTTTTTAAAAGGCTTTATAAAAAAGTCTATTGTTTTCATAAAAATGTTTAAAATTCTTCAGAAATAAATCGTTATGCCGCCTCCACGGCAGCTGGGCACACTAAAACGTCGAAGAGTGGAGCCTTTTGGTGTTGCCGGACTTTGTAACCGCTAACCACCCCCATGGCGTTTTTCAGTACTAACCACCCCATAGCGTTATTCAACATTAGCCTGTAAAACGTTTTCATTGAGCGAAATATTTTTTGTTGTTTCTTTCGTTTTTCGGCGAAATTTTGGTTTAAAATTAATTCTACACGCTCGCTGGCGTACAATGTCCGATGACGACGATATCCAGTACATCAAGCGCCAGCGGACGCTCCACTACGGCTCGTTGGAGGAGACGGAGCGTAAGCGTCAGAATGCTGCGACGGCGTCTGCAACAACAGCGGCACCGGCGCCGGCATCTTCCTCGGGATCAGGAGCAGGAAGGGAAGGTGGGGGAGGAGGAGCGACTACAACGGCGGGAGGAAACACTGGTGGCCAGCTGGAGGACATAGATTCCGATGAGGACTACGAGGAGGCATCTAAGAAGGGAACGGCCAGCGGGAAGTCGGGGGGAAAGCCAGGAATCAGTGCCAAACCGCCGACTGCATTGCCTACAGCCGCGTCATTGGCCAACAAGATCGATGACGACTATTTCGATCTGGAGACGGAGATGGAGCGCGACAAGGTGGCCTTGCTGGAGGAATTCGAGCGCAAAAAGCGCGCCCGCCAGATCAATGTGTCCACGGACGATGCTGAGATCAAGAACAACCTGCGACAGTTGAACGAACCGATTTGTTTCTTCGGCGAAGGACCTGCCGAACGAAGACGTCGTCTAAAGGAGCTGCTGGCCAATCTAGGCGAGAATGCCATCAATCGCGGACGTGGCGCCGAGGATACCGAAGAGCGTAAGGTGCAGTCTCGCGATCAGGAACAGGCCACATGGTATCACGAAGGACCGGACACCCTGCGCATTGCCCGTCTCTGGCTGGCGGACTATTCGCTGCCGCGTGCCAGGGATCGACTGGAGCGTGCCAGGGAAGCTTTGGAGGTGCCCAGCGCAGCGCGTGCTGGTCGCATGGTGGAGATGCAAAAGAAGCTGCAGTCACTGGCACCACTCTGCTCCCAGGTGGGTGACACACGGCCCGTGAGCAGTGCCGCCTTCAGCGCCGATTCCTCGCTCCTGTTGACCGCTTCGTGGTCCGGTCTCTGCAAGCTGTGGAGCGTGCCCGACTGCGAGCTGAAGCAGACGCTGCGCGGCCATGCCAGCTATGTCGGCGGCGTGGCCTTGCGGCCCGGTGTTCATGCCGACGAGGAGAACGTGGTGGCCATGGCCTCGGGCGGCCACGATGGCGCCGTCAAACTGTGGGGCTTCAACAACGAGGAGTCCATCGCAGACATCACCGGTCACATGCCGCATCGCGTATCCAAGGTAGCCTTTCATCCGTCCGGCCGTTTCTTGGCCACTGCCTGCTACGATTCCAGCTGGCGACTGTGGGATCTGGAGCAGAAGACTGAGGTGCTACATCAGGAGGGCCATGCCAAGCCCGTGCATTGCCTTAGCTATCAGTCGGATGGTAGTGTTCTCTGCACTGGCGGCCTCGATGCCTTCGGTCGGGTGTGGGATCTGCGCACCGGACGCTGCATCATGTTCCTCGAAGGCCACCTGGGCGCTGTCTTTGGCGTAGACTTTTCGCCGAATGGCTTCCACATTGCCACCGGCTCGCAGGATAATACCTGCAAGATCTGGGACTTGCGACGACGACAGCCGGTGTACACAATTCCTGCGCACACAAACCTCATTTCGGACGTGAAGTACCAACAGGAATGCGGCAGCTTTCTGGTCACCTGCTCGTACGACTCGACGACCAAGATCTGGTCGAACAAGACGTGGCAGCCGCTGAAGACGCTGCAGGGCCATGACAACAAGGTCATCTCCGTGGATATCTCACCGAATGCGCAGTATATAGCCACCACGTCGTTCGATCGCACCTTCAAACTGTGGTCGCCCGATAGCTGATTTTAATCTAAGAATTTTCATTTTGATTTTTGATTTTCGACGCCACTCAGACAATCTTCATATTGCGTGCGATCATTGCTGTCATTTACTCCTTTTTCTTGTTATTTCAGAGACAATAGCCCAAGGAAGTTTTTACAAACAAATCAAGTTTTCGTTTTGTATAACACAATTTGTTATTGTTTTTGTTAGACGAAAGGCAGCGGCCATGGAGCGCAACATTGCATTTCGTAAATTTAAGCATTTTTTATTGAAATTGTTAATAAAATACAAACATTTTTGGTAGAAAAAAGGAGTGTAAACTTGGATTTTTTTAAGGGAATATTTAATCATCTGGCGTTTTTCTATATTTTTAATGATAAATTTTCATACTGAACCTTTGCAACATTGGTATGTTGCCAGCTATGTTTTCAGTGATGTTTGTTTAGCAACATCTCCGTCATCTTTGCATATGCAACAAATATATGCTGCGAGCCTCAAAAGGTGTTTCTAAACATGTTCCTAGGCTTCATTTCCTTGGGAGTTCCGTCAAAGAACCATTTTTACTTGTTTTTCCATTAAAATGTTAATTTTTAAAACCCAAAAAATTAAGGGATACTATTAAAATATTTGTATTATTATTTGTATATAGTTTTTCCATTTAATTTCTTTTCGTATATTGTTTTTTTTTGTTGTTGGTTGCTCATGTTGTATGACAAAACTTAGACAATTAGTTTGAATTTTAACTAAAATTTAACTACCACAGATAGGTTGCAATTACATACATACATGTAAATGTATATGTCTAATATATTAATAACTACATTACAGATTACACATATATAGTTTACACATTACAGATTTCTCAATTTACTTGTTGCATTTTCAATCAGTTTCTAATTTTCTTTTTCATTTTAGTTACGCTTTATATCTTCGTTTCGCGTTGAGATTTTTACACAGAATTAAATCGTAATCCATATATAGGTATTATGTAGAATATGGAGCAGGGATCCTTGGGGTTCTGGTTCGGGTTGGGCTTGGACGAGCTCAATTTCTAATGTAAATTTCAATGAGGTTTCCCGATAATCGAAGATGCCACTTTCTCTCTCTCTCTTTCTTTCTCTTAACTAAATACATAACTCTTGCACTAGGCTAAAAAACTAGACAAAATGATAACTAATTAACAATTAAGGTAAACGTTTATTGGAAATCTCTCAGCTGCTGCGCCAAGCTCTCGTCTCTGTCTCTGTCAAGGATTCGTGTATCCTTCTCCTAGACCGTCGTATCCGGCGCCGGTGAGATGGGCTGCTTGGACTCTGACACCTCCAGGGAGCGTCCATTGGGAGTGTGTCCACCATCCTGGGGATCCTCTGGCGCAATATCAATGCGATGTGCCTTGCGCCAGACCACCAGGTCCATGAGGAATGCCAGGAACATGATGCCAGCCGTGATACCTTAAGAGCATAATGATGAATTACAGAGTTATGTTTTTTTTAGAGTTTCTTTATACTTTTTAAGAGCTTTAAATGCTCCCAGACTCACCTAGAAAATAGTGCCTGAAGGTATCCGCATCGTAGAGCGAACAGGCTCCATGCTTGCCGCACACCGACTTCCAGATGAGGCAGGCGGAATCCACAACGGCACCATAGATGATGGGACAAGGAACATTGCCGAATAGGCCAATGGCCGACTGTATCACACCCATGGCCATGGCCTTATCTAAAAAGGGATTCATATTTAATCAATTTAACATATTTTTAAATATATTGAATTATCCGTACCTTTGGGATGTGTACAGCGCATGACGAGCAGCATGCTGCCCACCTCGGAGGTGGAATGCATAAATACGCAAATGGCAAAGATCAATATAAAGTAGATGAAGTTCTTGCAGTTATTATCACAGTAACCGTTGACCGCCTCCGGAGCTGAAAGTCGGGAAATATATATATTTATATATAGAATAAGGATGTATTATGGGAGGAGCAGGAGGACTTACCATCTGGAATGCAAGCGCAGTCGGAGTATAGGGTGCGATTATCGCTGGGCCGCAGTGAGGAGCTACTGCATCCCGCATGGCAGGCCGAGATGTACATTTTGCCATCGGCACAAATTGGCGCAAAGTTCTCCTTATCACAGGTACAATTGAGAGCGGCACTGCAGGTGGGCTCGATAAGAGCGGGACTGTAAAAGGGAATAAAGGGAAATATTAATAAAATAATTATAAAATTATGTACTTAGGAAGCAACTAATTAAAAATTCTATAGTAACAACATTTTTCTCTACAGTTTTGTACTTAAAAACCCCTCTAAACTTAGTTCCTAAAAAGTATTGCCTACTTTCTGGGGTCAGCTAATCGTAACTCTTCCTCTAAGTTAAAAATATCTATAGAGGAAGTAATACCACTCCTAACTCGACCAAATTTCATATGTTTATACAGAAAACCTTATATTTTCTATATTCAATAAAAAGTAAACCTCACCTGTTGCCATCGCTCGCCTTGTAGCCAGCAAAGTCATTCATGCTGCAGCCAATGAACATCAGTATGATCATTCCCACGGAATAGACAAGGGCTGTAAATGCAATCCAGGCAGCAACACCTCTGGCCGTGGGCTTTCGTTTCAGGATAAAGAGACCAGAAATAACAATGCCAATGCCCATGACCAGGATGCCGCAGAAGGCAGCAATCATGTTGGCATCATACGTAGCCAGCCGGAACTGTGTCTCCAGATATTTGGGCAGAAAAGTATATAAACCAGCGATGGGCAGAAGGTGAAACACACAGGAGGCAGTGCGGAACATTAGGATATCGTTGCTCAACTGACGGCGTACCGTCTTGGGAAAATCTGGAAAAAATAATAATAATCTGAATATAAAAATCTCTAAAACCTTCCCTCAACTCACCTTTCAGCTTGGGCTTTTCCTCTGGCTCTGCTGGAGGAGCTGCCACTGCACTGGCCGCCGCCTGGGATTGCTGCTTGCCCCGCAGCTGCTTGGGGAACGAGAACATGGCAATGGAGGCCAACAGCATCAGGCTGCCAATGGCCACCGGTCCCAGCCACCAGGCACCAATCCAGCGAGGATCGGTGGCATCGAAGCCGGGATTGGAGAAGTTCACATACCAGCGGGTGCAGAAGCTGCCGAAGATGAAACCAGAGGCAGGACCCAGGATCCGCATGCCAATGGTGACGGCCATGTACATCGGTGACTGTTTGCTGCCCACATTATCATCGATGTAGGGAATGCCCAGAGTGGCCACCGCCGTCTGGCCAATGCCAGAGCTCAGGAGGCTGCCAAAGAAGATGCACAGCACAATGACGGTGATCTTGGAGTGGGAGGCCTGCTCCAGCTGCCGCTCCTCGTTGCACTCACTGCCCGACATGCTGGCATTGCCTCCAAGGATGCACAAATTGGGATTCAGGGTCATCACCTCCGACCCATGGCTGGCATTGAGCCACATCGAGGAGGTGGACTCTGGAATCTGCTGCGGTTGCTGCTGCAGGATTACGCTGGAGTGCATCAGTTGCTCCCCGAAGATGAAGTGCGGCAGGGCGCAGGCAAAGGCGGCTATGGAGAAGAGGACCATGCCGCAGGCTATCCACCGAGGACGATGACCCCTTCCCGCAAAGTAGGTCAGCAGCATGGCCGTGCAGATCTGACCCATTTCGCTGGCGCTAAGCAGGAGCCCAGTCGTCTTGGACTTGATCTGGAAGAGCTTCTCAATGGTGGTGATCACCGAGACAAAGTAGGTCATGTACATGCCCTGCAGGATGTAAGCCAGCAGGAAGACCACCATGAAGACATGCGTGGAGGCAAATCTCCGGGCCCACCTGGGACGGCAGCCAAACAAACCACAGCTGGCTGCAGCATCCGCCGAGGAGGAGCCACCATTTAGGTCTGAATCAAAGTCGGACTCCTCCGATTCACTGGATCGTTGAGGCAACTTGTAGCCACCAGTTAGAGGTGCCTGTTCGTGGGCATATTTCTCGCTGAGACTGTGACCATGTCCATGGCCATTGGAGGTGCCATTGTTGTTGGTGTGATTGCCATTCTTGAGGTCCTCCACCGCCGGTCCCTTCCATTCGTTGTTGTTGCTCGGCGTGCTCTCGTAGAGCACTGTGCTTGGCGGTGGCGTTGTGGCCACCTCGCTGCCTCCGTTCTGGGCCAGGAGTGGTGTGAAGGCCTGGCTGGAATCACGTCTCCCTCCGCCTCCATTCTGATGGTAGCCATTCACCTGGCCATGTCCGTTGCTTTGCTTTCCACCGCCCAAAGATGCGGCCTGAGTGGCGCCTGCCTCCACATCCCCGTTGCTCTTCGTCATTCTGCTGGCCACTAGAGTTCCTTGGAATCCTGGGAATTTAGGGATTTGGGATTGGATACGCTCCTAGATCTCAATTGGGTTTCTGTAATCTCAAGGATGTAATCTCAGCAGCAGTTCTAGGTGGTCTTAGTCACTGCCTGTTGTTCCATGTTGTTGTTCCCATTACTTCGGACTTGGAAGCAGTTTCTCGGTTATATACATTCGATTCTATGTGGTTGGTATATATTGATATTGGCCCAAAAACGAGGTAGATTGAGGTTGATCTGGTTTCTGATAACAGTTCGATATATTCTTTGTTGCAATATGGCAGTGTTGTGTGTTCTGCAAATGGAAAAGTGCAAAGAAACACAAATTAGCAATAGGAAGTGATTAAAATAGGGATATTCCGAGGATACTATTATTGTTGATAACTAATTAAATAGACTTTAATTATTAATTATACCCTTCTAAGGTATTATAAGCTTTTTAAAGTGAAGGAATCATTTTCGACCCTATAAACCATATATATTCTTGATCAGCATTAACAGCTTAATCGATCTAGCCATGTCCCGGGGAAATCTAAATTTTTTAAATTTTTTCAAAATTTCGAAAATACGATAAGGGGTTACATCGTTAAAATTGACAAAAATTTAAATTTTTTAACTTTATAAACTGTGTATGTAGATTTGTTTTCCCGTTAAAAACTAGCACAGACTCGCTTTCCGAATTGAAATTGTCCCATTTTTGGCTGAGCTATGATCTTTGAAAAACATTGATTTAACCAAAAATTGGAATTATAATAAAAAAATTAGGATAAAATAATATCGATTCTAGGAATTAATGTACCTGTGTTTTATATATATATAATATACATATATATACAGCTATCATTTACATTATAAATTCTTTATAATAACAAAGACAAACTTAGTACAACTTCAAATATAATCAAACAAGCTACACTTTATTTAAAAAACTCACATGCATTATATATAATTTGTTTGTTATTTTAAATTTATCTAATCGTTTTTATATACTTGTGTCATTAAGTAACCTGCCGCACAATCCGAAATTATATGGAACTATAGCTTTGAAATCCAAAAGCAGACTGCAGGAAAAAACGCAGAACCCAATGGAACCCATACACTCGCCAAAAATGAAAGTGGGAAGCAGAGTAAACCTTATCGTTTTTTGCAAAAATATATAAAAACATACAAATGTATATGCATTAAAAACGCAGTCGTGCGAACAGCATGCGACACATTGTTAGCAAAAGCTTTTTATTTCGGATTTTTATACGTATTATTTTGGCAATTGATAAGCCAAACACCTTGGAAGTTCAAGGTTGAGCTGATAACAACTTTCAGGCACATGTGGGATTTTTGGTAAGCTTATTTTATTGCAGTTTTTAATAGAATTATAAATAAATTATGTGTTAGAAATTTCTTAAATATTTTTTTTAATGTTTCCAAACTCATAACAAATTTTAAAATATTTTTCCAACAATTAAAACTATTTCCAATAGGTTATTTGCAAAGGTTATCATAGGAACACATAATTATTATACCCAAAAACTGTCTTGTTTATCTGAAATAAAATATATTGTATATTAACCCATATATAAAATTGTATGAATGAGTGTATATGCAAAAACAAATATTAAAACAGTTTGTCCAAATTCCGCTCTACTCGTATCTCACTTTTTGTTCCTCACTTTTATTTTATTCGTTTTGCCAAAATTTCAATGTCAAATATTATTCGCAAATTCGTTTCTAAACATTTGCTTATACATACACACACATTATAATGCTTGTGTGTGTGTGGTTGGTTTTATAAAAAAGGCAGTGACGGAATTTAATTTCACTTTCCGCCGGGACAGCCGCTCTTTCGGTTCCATTGCAATCGCAATCGCAACTCAGTGGCTGCACTCGGCAAATCTTATCACTACGCGCGACCTCGATGATAAGGAAAGTGAAATTGTCACTATATATACACACATGTACAACCCTGCACATGGAAAAATAGGAATAGCTTTCTTTTAAAGAATTTAATATTTATTTATACACAGGAAAAAGAAGGGAAAAGTATCTGTGGGAAACCAGTTTATATACCTTTGAAGTTAGCAATTTTATTATAGGATCGATTTGAAATCAAAGCTTTCCTTGAATAGATCTTAATCTTTGATAACTCATAACTAAGCCAAAAATGCATTAATTTTAATTCGGAAAGCTTTCCTATGTTAGTTTTTGTTAGGTTAATAAATCTGCATACTGCATTTAAAATTTAAAATTTAATCATTTTTTGACAATTTTAACGATGTAACCCCTTATAAAATTTTAAAGTTTTGAAAAAATTTTGAAAAAATTTATATTTTACCGGGAATGGCTTGATCGATTCAGCTGTTAATGCTGATCAAGAATATTTATTATTTATAGGGTCGGTAATGACTTTTTCATATTATTACAAGCCTTTGAATACCCTATAAGGGTAAAACAAAAACCATCTTAATAATTTCTTTATAAAATAGTCAAGGCCTTACAAATAATATTTATGAATAATTTAAATGTTAAAATTTCTAATTTTTATACAATGCTATAATTTTTTTATAGTGTAAGCGATTAATAAAAAACATCACTGAACAAGGCAGAGCAGGAGGCATCTCCTTTGGGTCTTAAGTATTTGTTTTCTTTTATTTCTTTTATTTATTTTTTATTTATTTATTTTGTTCTTAGCTCCCCCTAAACTTTGGCCTTGAATTCATGTTGTTATTGCTGTCGATGATGGTTTTCTTACTTTTTCCTCTGTTTTTCATTCGATTTTATTTATTGCGCATTTTGTGCTTTTGATTTCTGTTTGAAATGCTTGGCTTTCATTGTTGTTGTTTCACTGGAATGCTTGTGAATTGAGAAAATATTTATTTATGCATAATTAGAGATGAATGGGAGTAGCACGTGCTTAATTAGCATTCCAGATTTGATTGGAGATCAAAATCCAACCAGCAACTAAGCAGAAAAATATTTGCAAATGTAACCAAGTCATGAGGAAAATATTCAAAGATTAGAAAATTTGCAAGATATGACAAAATATAGTATAATATATTAAATAGCATTGTTATGATGTAATTTATTTATTGAAGATAATTTATGACTGTAAATGCCTGGAGAAATATAACTCAGTGCTGTAAAAACTTTTTTAGATAAACTTTAGTTGAGGTATCAAAAAAATAGCTTGTAAATTATATATACTTGAAATGTTTAATGATAAAAGAATAGGGTTTTGTGATACATTGTAAAGGTCTTTAAAAATGTTTACCTGTGACATCACACCACAGCTCGTAATGTAAATTTCCAACTTAAACCCGCGATAGGACCCTTGGTTTTATCTTTATTTTTCCTTCTTATCTGTTTTTCACACTTTCCCACAGTTTTTTTCTTTTTGTATTTTTTGTTCTTGTTTTTCTGTAGGTACTTCTAACTGATTCTAACCAGTGAAGTAACTCTGGATGGGCCAACAAAGCCAGTAGTTTAGCACTCGCTGTTGGCCACTTATCGCCACCATCGCTGCATAATCTTCAATGCTCCTGGCTTCCTCATCCGCAAAACCCATCTTACACGGAGAAAATTAAGATAAGAAGAAGTCAAAGTTTAACACAGAAATTATACATTTATTTGTTACTTATTGTATTAAAGAATTAAATTCTTTATTCTGCAATGAACTGAGTCAGAAGGAGCAAGGCCTTCAGACAGAAAAGATACAGATACAACCTTTTCATTAAAAGATACTTTGTACTTTATTTGTATCTATTGTGTCCTGTACTTTATAGTTTCCATTTTATCTTTGATTTTTTTCTATGTTTTTTTTCCAGTAATTTATTTTCTTCTCTTCCCTTATTTTCCCTTTGTGTACTCTACGAAAAATAAGTTTAAACTTTAAAGTTAGTCCGGTGCACTTGCTGGTTGGGACCTGGTCTGAACCTGAACTCCTGCAGTTACCTGTTTGAGGCTAAGTTCGAGTGGCAACAGGCAGCGGATGGCTGGGCTCAAGGCTCATTGAACCCTGGAAGTTCTGGAAGTACTGGGAGCGTTGGAACTGACCAGGTTGCGAACCTTCAGAGAGTCAACACATCCAGGCAGAGATGCTTATGCAAGATCTAACCATCTATTCTAAACATATTGACTTCAATTCGGCCTGATGGATGGTTAATTGTTCAATTTGTTGCAAGTGTTTGCCAGCTGACAGCCAGATATTGCCGATTTATCAGTGTCAATCATAATAAATGCAATTAAACCGCCCCGTTTACGAAACTATCGATAGATGGGTGTGTGGAGAATACTGGTTAGGAGCGATCGATGGTTAGATTGCGGCCGAGGTTTCCATTTCAATTGGGACCCGCAGCACCTATCATCATAACTACAATGTGGGAAAATCAACGAGGGATTCTTACACTACAACACAAAATTTGATTTGAATATTCTGGGGGGAAAGATATAGGAGCTTATAATATTTCATCTTGTACCAGGGTTTTCATTGATCTTTCAACTTTTTTAAAGGAAACTGACAAGTCTCTCCAAGGAAAATCTTATACTAATCAAAGAAGCTTTAAAATATATAATTTTGTAACTAATTTGTTAGTATTTAGTATAAAATTTATTCATGTTTTTGTTTTAACTATTTCATAAAGTTTTCAATAATGTTTTACATAATAATTAAAAGCCAATGGAAAATGTCTAATCTCTATTAGGAAAATCTTTCACTAATCAAAGAAGCTATAAAATATATAATTTTGTAACTAATTTGTTACTATTTAGTATGGAATTTATTCATGTTTTGTTTCAGCTATTTTATAAAGTTTTAAATAGTATTTTAAGGAATAATTTAGACAAATTTTTCAATTAGTTTTCCCGTCTAGTGTAACAAGAATGGTAATGCTTGGTTGGGGCGGGCGGAAAACAAAAAAAACAAACGGGGAGTTGCACTTTTTCTCCGCTCATAGCGTGTGGATTTTCCGGTTTTCCCGGCAACTTGCAACTTCGTCTTCCCCTTCCGCCTTCCGTCTTACATCGTCGTCGTTTTGCTGCCAACTACGTAACTGAGTTATGTACGAACGTATGTGTTTTGGCGAGTGTATACGGGTATTTCCACGGGTGTGCATTTGAATTGCGCAAGCGCAACTATTGCAAATTGCATACCGCGTTGCTGTTGCAGTTGCTGTTGCAGTTGCTGTTGCTGCTGCTGCATGCCAACATGCAACAAAACCAGACACGCGGGCAACGTGCTGACTAGACGCTGACAGCAGCAATATCACAACAGCAACATTGCCATTAGGGATGAAAAACTAGATAATATATATCGAAGACATATCGTTAGGTATCGAAGAGCGATATATATTTTGAAATGTGACAGCAATCATAAAAATAGGGATAACTTTTAGGAGAAGCTTTCCATATAATACATAGATCCTATGAAAGGTATACCTAGAAAACTATCACATAATATATCAAATTATATCTCAATTGATATTTTAATAAAAGATACACTATTAAAATAAATATCGATTTTCTTGACCGATATTGTACAAATATATCTATATATCTATCATTCCTAGTTACCACGAACAAGTGCCAAAGCCACAGAGTAGAAGAAAGCCCCAACAATGGAATGGCTAGGAGCGGCATTGAAAGTAAATTGCACACTCGACCAGCAGCAAAGCCAGCAAAATAGATGCCAACTTGCCAGTCGCAAGTCCAAGTTGAAGCCACAAATGCTGTTAAAGCCAGAATCTTGGAAAGAAGAGCTCGGAAAAGTGGTTTAACCACATTTCACTTTTAGCATAGAAACGATTTAGAACTTGTGTGTGTGTCTACTAAAGATTTGCCATCAGAGATATGAGACAAAAATCTAACAAAAGTTATCCAGATTGAAAAGAAATTTATTATAAATAAAATAAAGAAATCCCCAAACTTATATAGATAATATGAATCAAGCAAATAGCTTTTGCTAGAAATTTCTATGACACTTTGTACAATGAAATTGAAGAAACCCATTTGTTTATTTTAATTTCTCCACATTCCCGATATATAGTATATATTTCCCCTAGACATTGAGTCACTTGCTTGGTTTATTTCCCTAAGGTCTCCGTCTCCGATTCGCTGACCAATCCAGATATCCATTTGTTTATATGTATAAAGCGAATTGTTTATGCTTGTATTTTGACTTTGACCTTCACATTGAGAACTGAACTGAAATTTGAACCAGAAGCTTGATTTGTGTAAACAAAAATGTTAGACACACAATAACAATAACAATTCACAGCTTGGCTGTGTGACAAACGATTAAATTATTAATACATCAGCCCACTTATATACTCCATATGGAGCTTTATATATATTATAATTTTTGTGCTAAATTATACAGTTTTTTTTTATTTTTTTGTGAGCTCTAAAGTGCCGAAATTATTTCAATTTTTGGGGCAGCAACAAACCTGTATGATTCAACCCACTTTTTTATATTTTATTGTAATTACAATTTGCTTAATCCTATTACGGAAAATTAATTTGAGGCGTCATCAAATTTGGAGATTATAAAATTAAACTTCAAAGCGATCAAGATATCAAACAAATCCCAAATATATATACATATACGGATATTTAAGCTTGTACAGGCTTATGCTTTTATTTTTTCTTCTTGGCTGTTTCAAAGTGGAACAACCATGTAAAAAATATATATATACATATATAAATTCAATAAGAGGTACATGATTCATGACAGGGCAAAAGGTGTGGCTCTCTTTCCGAAAAAAAAACAAACAATGACAATAAAAATACTTAAAACATTTAAATAAAGGTGGAAAATTTAAAGTTGAGAGAAGAATACTCTTACACAAATTTTATTTCAATTAAATAAATACAAGGGGGACTTTGCGTATCTTAAAAATTCTTTAAGCTATTTATTTAAACCTCCTTGAAGAATATTTAAAATATATTTTAAGACAAGTCTAATTTTTATTTATTTCTCTTTGGCTTTCCCTTATTTTACGCATTAATTTGGCTTGAAATAAAACTTCCTTTTTGACGTCGGCGCTTGTTAAAAAACTGAGAAAGGTAAAAAATCACCAAAAAGCCAAACCAAAATGAAACGAAAAAAATAAAGAAAAATTAACAAGCTCAAAATGGCAGCCAAGTGTGCATAAATTTTTGAAATGTCCGCAAAAAGGCTGTGCCAAAAAAAAAAATAAAAACAAAAAACACAGACTTAATGAAATGCAATCAAAAGGCATTCCAAGAGGACTGCATTAAGCCCGACCTGGACCTGGACTTGGACTTGGAGTTGGAATTGGAACTGGATGTCCAGTGCTACCTGGTAACCGCTCCTCCGATTCCAATTCCGATCCGCCGATTCTGATTCTGATTCTTATTCCAATTCCAATTCCAATTCCCCCCAAATATCTCGCCCAAAGATCAGTACATGGCGCTGACGTGACGTTCTGGAGTCAGTCCCAAAAAAATAAAGGAAACAAAAAGCAGATATTCACATTTATTTCCCTTCTGGACATATACAACCTATATAGGTACGCATATATACTGAATAAATGCGAACGAGAGAACAGCTTACATTTGTCATTTCGTACGAACTGTGGGGCAATGTTTAATAAAAAAGGGGTTACTTTTTATAATAGTAAATATTAAGAATATTTATAAAGATTTATTTTATAAAATTTAGATATACTTAAGCAAGTTTACATTGTAAAATTACAGGATATTTTATTTGGTAAAATATTACATTGCTTTAAATAAATAAAATCTAACGAGAACCAATCTATTCAAAAAAAAATCATTTTCAAAATTCTACAGAAACTTTACTACCAACAAAAATCCCTAAAAGAATATCACCAATTTCTCATGTTAAAAATAAATAAATTGAATACCAGGCTATAAGGGCTATATTTTCACGTCATATTATATCATATCGTTCCACTGTCCCCCTGTAACATGAAAGAAAGAAAGCTTGTTTCAAAAGCGCCAAAAAGAAGCTTAATTTAAAACAGAGAACCTTCCTCCTCTGTCTGATTGATTGAGCCGCTGATTTAAGCGGCTTTTCGTTGGCCAGGCCAACATTTCTGGACCAATTTCGACAAGGATGTGAGGTGTTAACTTGCCTTAAATGTATTCTTTTCGAACCCAAAAGGGGTACCGTTATGGGGCTAATTGAAATTTTATAAATTGTTCCCCGTCATTCGTAAAAAAAAATTCTCCCCTTAGCTAATTTAACATAATTTATTATAGTAGCAGCATTGATTTTTCCAATTAGCAACCAATTATATGGCAGAGCTTCGTCATGCGCAAAAGTTGAGCTCATTATTTGCATAATTTCAAGTAGATGAAGAATGCCCAATGCTCAAGTGTTTTGCTTCCCAAAGTTAGTTCACTTCAAGTGTCAAGTGGGTTCCCACAAAAAATAAAAAAAATAGAGAAAATAAATAGAAAAATAGATAAATAAATAAAGAAATAGAAGAGAGCCATAGAAATTGGCATGGATACAAGACCATCATTACTCATGAGTATTTGTTTATGAAAGTACTTAGCAGGTTCTACCTTCTACACCAAAAAATTATTTCAATTGTTTAACGAACAAAAAAAATAAATCCCTGCATAATTTTATTTTCTTCGCTGACTTCGTGTTTGTAATTTTTTATTTATTCAACTTTTTTTAACGTAAATTTCCACTTGGCACTCTGTTTTTGGGGTTTCTTTCCTTAACTTCTTTTGGGCGCCTGTCTTTTTATGGCGTTCCATTTTAAATTAGTTGTTTACTTAAAAAGAATTTTGAATGGTTTTCGTGTGTCTGCTCCACATTGTTGTTTTGTCAACTTACTTAATTATTGTTGAGTTGTTGAATTGTTGAGTTTCTTTAGTTGTTGAAGTGTGGGAGTGGTAACTGAAAATATAAAGAAGTTGAGTTCGTTTTATTGTTGAAAAGAATTGTAAAATGTTTGGAAAACGAGCTTAATATTAAAGGTATTTTTTAAGATCCCAGAAATAACAATTTATTATTTTTTTAAATTGTAAAATTGTATTTTCTATATTTGAATAGGGTTCTGTATATAATTTCCAACCTTTATATTCCTTAACATATGCATATTAATATTTATTTTATATAAACTATAATTTTATTGTGTAAATTCTTCTTACTTAATATATTTCTATTCATTTTATGATTGTCTACGAATTCTAGGCCATTTAATAATAAATACCGGCTTCATAAAATACACACTCGGTCATAACTATAAATACGTCCGTTTAGTTGGGTCATAACAATTACGGCCAAAACGATTAATGCTTGTTAAAGTTTTTCCATTTTTTTCTCTCTTGTTTAATTCGCTTGCAGTGCGGCGCGTGAATAAAAATGCAGTGAACATTATTAACAAGGGAAAATATATGTAAACATATACCGACACACACACTCCCACATGTAAGGCAATTTTAAACAACAAGAAAACGTATTAAATGGGGGCAAAGTGTACAATTAATGTAAATGCAAATCTTGTGCCTACAGCAACAGAGCAAAAACAATCAAAACAAAATAGTTGCTGACGGCAGAGAAGAATTTTATAAAAATAAAAAGATAAATGAGCACAAAACACAGTCTGCAAGCTGCTGTGTGTGTGTGTGTGTGTGTGTGTGTGTGGGACAAGCAAAATTGCATTGAGATAGGTCAGTCACACACGCACACACCCATGCACTGGATAGTGCAGTCTCTCTCTCTCTCACACACTCTCTGCCTGCAAATTATAGCTTTAATTTGAATATGCAACCAAAGTTGCCCTAATTATGGCATCTAGGGGTGGTATTTCTACTTTTATTTGCAAACTTTAACCCTCGAGGGTATAGCAATTACAGTGGAATATAAATAAAACAAGTTTTAGTTTTATTTTCTTTTCCCCATTCATGTAAAACTTACACAATCCCCTCTCTGGCTAGCGCTCTCTCGATTCACTTTTCTTTGTGCAATTCCAATAATTTAGCAAAAGAGAGAGAGAGAGAGACCCAGAGCCAAAGCTCTTTGGTCATAGCTGCTGCAGCAGAGCGGGAGAGCAGATGCATTCACAGAGAGAGATGGAGTGCAAAAGAGAGAAAGAGAGGGAGAGACAGAGGTGGGCATCTCTTCGTTAACTTGCACTTTCTGCTGCACTTTTTTGTTGTTGGTAGAAATAGTAGTAGATTTTTGGTGGAAAAAATAAGGAATATTTACAAAATATCAAAAGATATAGATACTTCAAATACTTAATCAATAAAACAAAAATTATAAATTTAAAATCGGCAATAAAACATTACTAATTTTGTAAATAGAATTAATTACAGTTTGATTTTTAAGGATTTCGTGGTCCTAAAATGTAGTTCCTAGCATTCCCATTCCTAGCATTTATTTTCTTTTATATTTAACAAATTTTAAACTATATATTTTTTTCTTTAAATATCTATTACTTCTTCACTATTTAAAATTCTCTTGTGTACTTGGCTTTTTCCAAAAGAATCCATCCCTTATTTACAGATTTATTTGAACCTAGGACAACAATTAAATAAGTGTCTGAGGCGAGGGGAAAATCAAAGCAACAGAATAAATACAACCCCAAAAGAGCTTTCTTTCTTTATTTATTTTTGGCAAAAGCAAAAGTAAAAGCTTACCAAAAAGAAAAGAAAAGTAGGGGAGCGGTTTATATTCGTTAGCCAAGGAATACAGACAACTAAGAACTTATTGCGCAGTAGACGGAAAATGGTATTTTCCTCACGTCTAGACAGAGGGAAATTAAAGGAAAGCCGTGAAAAGCCTGAGAAGGAAAGTCTGTAACATGAAACCAAAACTTAAAGGGATTACTAGGCTTAAAGATAAATTAATAAACCTATAAAAAATATAAAATTGATAAGGAAATAAAATATAATGTAATAAATCGATATATATCAATATTTTTAAAATTTAAAAATCTCATAATTAAGCAATAAATTTATTCATTTCAATTCGGTAAGCTTTCCCATGTTAGTTTTTATTTGTTTAATGAATCTGCATACTAAATTTAACATTTAAAAAATTCGAATTTTTATCAAATTTTCTAAATTTTAATGATGTAACCCCTTATAAAATTTTGAAAAAATTGGTAAAAATTTTTTTTCTTCCGGAGGTGGCTAGATCGATTCCGCTTTTGATGCTGATCAAGAATATATATGATTTATAGGGTCGGAAATGACTCCTTAACTACTTTTTATGATTCTAACTAAAATATTAATACCTTGAAAAGGTACAACAAGGATAGAAATATAAACCCTTTCGTCAACTTTAATAAGTGAATAAATAATTTTAAAAATTATTTATAGGTTCAAACTAACTTATTTTGATCATTTAAGATTGATTACAAAAAGCGCATCCCTTTGTTTTTTATTTTATGGTGACATAAGTGAGTGAAAGTGAGTTTGTAATGAAAACGAAATTCAAATTCGAAATGAAAACGAAATTATTGCAAAATCTAGGCACGCACACACACACACACACACACAGACAGCCGACTAACGGTTGCACTCTGTTTCTCTCTCGCTCTCTGGCTCTCTTGCTCTCTCTGGAAAAGTGCATTGACTTGTCCGCCTGCTGTTATTCCATGTCTCTGTATGGGTGTTATTTGCTGAGATGTGTGTGTGTGTGAGTGTATGTGTGTGGCCAAGATTGCATTTGCCAATTCCAATTTGGATTTTCGCATCTTGTCGGCGGCAACTTCTCGTGTTTATTGCAAAATAAATACATATGCAGATATCATAAAATCGTGCCCCCGTCACGACGGGGCGTGCATTTCCTCAAGCTTTTCCTTGGCTCGGATAAGGGGAGGAGGCCATTTTCCCGCTGGGCGTGTCTTTGCAATGATTCATAGGAATTATATTCCTTAAATATGGTTTTAAAGGGTAAGGATTTTAGGGAACTAAATATTATATTTACTTTTTCTTTAAAAATTTGGATTTTAAAATGTCTTAAAATGCGGTATGTAAATTATAGATAGAATCTATATAGTAACTCGGTCGTAAAGTATTTTTTAAAATATTTTGAATTCATTTAAGAGACTTTCTGCTAGTTTATTAATCTAAAAACCTGGTAATTACGATTTTTATTACATTTATTTTTCTTATTTAGAGCTAAAAAAAAAACCCTAGAAAGCTGCATATTTATTTATACTAAAAATAAACCTAAAATAAGCACAAATACTAAGCAAATTTTAATCCATAATCAGTCACCTTTCCACTTACTTTGTAACACAGGGCGTATGAGTGATTTTTTTGCTCACATCACGTATACGCCCCATGGGCACCGAGTATGTACGAAATTATAATCAAATCCAATGCACTTTACTGCCCTTTTCAAACCAATAAAAATACAAAATAAAATAAAACCCTTGCCGGATCTGTAATCCACGTTGTTATTTTAAAACCGAAGTAAAATTCGTTCCCAGAACCCCATATTTTCCCAGACCAATGTAATCAGAATAAGAAAGTGGATGGAGATGGTCTCGAAACTAGTTTAGTAGGAAGATTGCAGATCGTTACGTGGCAGTTAATTGAATAAGTGCCCCGGGATTGAGTCGAGACGAGACGAATGTGTGCTAAATTGATTGAGTCGCATGGTGAGTGCCATATAAATTGAGCTGACAAACATGGGTACAAGTCTGCAGCCGGAGATTTGCAGTTGCAAATCACAAAATCGCGAATCTTGGAAACACATATCGTATAATTTCCACACACAAAAATAAATGCACAAAAAACCGCAGCCAAAACGGAGACAGAAAGCGAAAACTGGGTCAACCTGATGCAGAGCAACCTACGCAGCTCCTCCACTCACATTCGCAGCAGCCATAGATGCAAGCCGAAAACAAAAAAAAAAACGTAAAATAAAACACAAAAATAATATAAATGGTGGAAAAAAAGAAGGAGAAGTGTAACCCACGACAACGACGACGTTTCGCTTCATTTGCTCACAAACACTGGAAAAGTAAAAAGCGACGACGCCAAAATTTATGTCTGCTGGATTTCACCCACGCAGCAGCAGAAGTTGCAGCAGTTGCAGTTGCAGTTGCAGTTGCAGCTCTACCAAATATTAATAAAAATAGCTTGATATTTTCGTGAAACTTTAATTACTTCCACTACCTTATTTATTTACTTATTACCTGACTAATCGCATTCTTATCAGACACACGTGCTGCCCGCAAGTGCAATGCCAGAAAACATTCCATCGCTTTTTTTTTGTTTTAGCGATAATGGAAAATCAAAACATTGTAACTACACAGTGGAAACAGAGAGGAAAATTAGGAGAGATAAGCTTTTAGGTTACAAGTTACATTCAACTATAATTATAAATAAGGGAAATAACTAAAAAATGCTTACTTCTTAGTAGTTTAACTTCCTTTTTCAAGAAAGCACTCCACAGAATATCACTTTAATCTCTTTAAAAATAACCTATGACTTGACCTACGATATACACCTAAGAAAAAATTATTTATAAAATATATATGGCTTTGAAAATGCTGTATATCTTTATTATATTATTATCTTTATTATATTATATTATTATCTAATTTATATTATATTATTATATTCATTATATCTTTATTATATTATTTTTCATCATTTCTAAGTAGTATTTATTTATCAAAAAAATTATTCGCACGCTTTATAAATTCTAAAATAATTTAAATAATAAAGAACACAATTTAACCTTAGCTATAGAGTCCTAAAATTCATTTCTTTTAATATATGTATGTATGTACCTTACACTTCTATTTTTCCTCATTAATTATTATATGCAAATATATGAATACTCCCCCAATAAACTCCATTATATTTAGTACCCACTGTATTCAGCTGAGGGAGATAGAGAGAGATTTTTTGCTGTTGCCCACAAAATCGTGATTCCGCCGCCGCCTGCAACTACGTTCACTTTCAAAATCAGTGAAATGTGACCAAAAAAATACAACAACAACAAAAAAACTTAAAAAAAAGTGAATTGATGTTGCATTGTGTTTGGCTGTCTGTTTGTTAGCTATTCGCATTATTCACTTGGCTTACAAATAGAGGTTAATTTATTGTGACTTGATTGAGTCGAGCATGCGCATAAAAAATGCAAGTGAAACTGGCTTTTTGGGGGAAAATAGTCAAGTCAATAAATTAAGCAATTATTTGGGTAGATAATGCAAATTAAAGGATAGTTGTTTAAATAAACTATCTAATCATTTGTTGCTGGTGTTTGCATAGTTTTTATTTATCATTTTAATGGCAGTCCTACCACAATGCAAAGTGTTTGCTGCAGGAATCAATTACACTGATTCAGAACTTCATCTCGCCTGCTTGCAACACTTGCAGATACAGATACAGATACAGAGATGCTGTTGCATTTGCAGATACATATTCATGCTGTGACTGAGATAAACATCCGAAGCAAAAGAAAACAAGATGAAACCGGCGCGATCGCGTTCGCTGCATCCGACAACGACCTTCGGCAACGATCTGACATTGAACACTGGCTATAAATGGAGCCATCCTACATACATGTATGTACATGTATGTACATGTCTATACATGTGTATGCACACTCCACACTTGCACTTGCTTACATTAAACATTAAACGCATTGTTGCTATACAAGCTGTTGACATAATTTATCCAGATGATGCACTGAACTTTAATTAAACGAGTGTTTTTAGTTAAGATTTGAATTTGAAGAAGAAGATATAACAATTTAAATAATTTGTTTGATTTGAAAGAGAGCTTAAAAGGAGTGAATAAGAAAGATATTTTCTAATATCTTATTGACAATGTTAATGAATTAATTAATGAATATATTTGATATATTGTTTCTATTGTTTCTATCCACTTCTGCAACTCACTGAATTTATAATTAATTAACATAAAGCCCGCATTTCTTGCGGTGCATGCAAAGTGTGTGTGTACTTAGCTTTGGGGCTGTTTTATTTTTTTTTTTTGGCGCATTTAGCCAATTAACCGAATGGTGCCGAATTCAGATAACTATGGAAATGGAAACGGAGATGGAAATGTGGAAATGGAGATGTCGGTGACGCGCGCGCACATTCCATTCCAATAGGATCCAATTGGAACCGAGTTTCAGACGGCAGTTCATGTTGCAACAACTGTTGCTGCTGCTGCTGCTGCGACTGTTGCTGCTGCTGCTGTTGCACTTGACTTACTTGAGTTGCGTCTGGTAACTGCCATCGCCATCGCCATCTGCGCAATGCATTTCACTTTCATTATGATGCAGTCAGTTTTTGCCACTAAAAATGGCAACGGGGCAATGCCGATGTGTGGTTTTTCCAAGCCAAAATGAAAACCAGTTAGTAGATGCTGCCTCTCTCTTCTCTTTGGCTCTTTCGCTCAGCTGCAACAGCTGACAGCTGCACTCACCTGGCCTTTACCTGTGTGTAGGCGTCGTCGTCGTCGTCGTCGTCGCCGTCGCCGTCTTTTGTTTCGTTTCGTTACTTGTTTTTACTTTCTTCTAATAGATCGTTAGCTGTGCCATGAACTTGCAATTGATTGCTTATTGTTAAATGAAAATGGAAAGTCATTTTCCATGCATTTTATTTTTTTTTTTTTTCCCCCTGTGTGTGTGTGTGCTTTTTTTTCGTGGCTTTTCCTTTTGTGGGTTTTCGTGGGTTTTCATTAACGGCGACGCCTTTGCCTTGGCTTTCCCGAAAACAAAAATATATATGTGCCAATGGGGGTCAAGTCACCTCTCTAGTAAACGAGTGAGTAATTCTTGACATTTATTGAAAGCGAAAGTAATTACAAATTACACACAAACATTTAAATGTTTATATACTTGTTAATATATATAGAGAGCATATAGTTCCCATCAGAACTCCCCCAAGAACTTGAGCGATAAATGCAGTAGCAACCCCCAATTGCATTTAGTATCTCCTCTGAGTGTGTGTGTGTGTGTGAAAGTGTGTGTATTTTCCCCCTTGGAAGCCACCGAGCCAACCCCTTTCCCTCTTCCCTTCTCGTTCAAAGCAACAGAATCAATTTTTATTGGTTACACAACGACGACGCCAGCAGCAAAGGAAAAGAAAAAGTCCATTGACCCCAAGGCGAGCGACTCATGACTTTTAGTACTTCTTCCCAACAATACACTTACGAAAGGAGCATACCGAATAAGTTAATAGTTATGGCAAAGGAAGGGAATATGAAAGGGAAGTTAAATAAAAGAAAAACACTAAGGTTCTATCAATACTAAATTAATGAATTTCATTCAAATTTATACATACAAAAATGTTTATAAAAGGAAAGTAACGAAAAGGAGTCACATTAAAAGTAAACCAAGGGAAGATATATTTCAAAAGCTTAAAAAAATCTATAAACACCATAAATCTTTGCGAATTGTATACAATTAATTTCTAAAAAAATATAAAAGAGTATTTTAAACACAATATATCCTTAAAATACTAACTTATTCACCTTAATAAATTTATCTTTCAGATATTTTGTAAGCTTTCAATGTTACTTTAACATTGCAAACCAAAAAAAAAATATTTTCAGAAGAGAAGTGTACCCTTTAATATCCAAAAAGAGTATCTCCCACTTCGTTCCACTTGTTTCCTTAATATTTCCCTCATTTTGGCCCCCTTTTGTTGTCTTTTCAGTTGAGTTACTTTAAGTAAATAGCCAATGCATCGACTGCAGCTACTGTTTGTTTTGGCCAGGCGCCTCGATCTTTAAGAATTTCCCATGCTCAAGAACTACTATTCGGCTATAACATTTTCTTTATTCATCGCTGAGTTGAGTTAATACTTTGGAATAGAATCCATAGAGGATATCTTCCTCTTTTTTAGAAGCGCCAAGAGGCCTGAAGTCCACCGCCATAGTTGTTGCGATTAAAGTCAAAATTCCTACTGGCCTGGGCATAGGCATCGATGGTGCCACGTCCATCCCGGCTGGTGTAGAGATTATGGTTATATTGGACACTGGCCTCTCGTCCAAATTGGGGATCCTTACTGGCGGTTAGGACCACGGAGCCACCTTCCGGGGAACGAGCACGACGAACCAGGAGCTCCTCGGGATCAGCCATCAGGAGTTCCTCTGCGGGTTCGTCTACCAAGCGCTTCACTGGTTCAGCCACTAGAAGATCCTCGGGTTCAGCCATCAGATACTCCTCAGGATATGGCTGTGGATAGGAGGACACAAAAGCCACCAGACAGGCGGCCACTAGGAGCAGGATACTGGACTTCTTGAAGGACATCTTTGCTGGATTAATTGTAGAATCAAACTGATGCTCAAATGAGAAGTGCTGCCACTTTATATAGGACCCAATGGGGATTCAATGGGATTCACCTATGTGAGGGGACTTACACTCGGAAGATGCCATTGTTCCTTATCTGTCTGGGCAGGGTGATTTTTCGAGATGGTTCATCCCAGAATCTGGGATCTTTATCAGCAAAAAAGGCAAACAGAACAAATAGCTCTCATACTGTCACTAAGAATTCAAATTTAAAGCTGTGTCGTGTTTAATCTGGGGATTTTAATATTATAAATAAAAACAAATACTTTAAAATGTCCTTTAATTTAAAGATCTTATGCTGTGACAGTCATAGATAATGTAGAAATATTTAATTACCTCAATTTAGCTTGCTCTCTAAGGGTATATATAAAATAAATAGGATCAATATATCTAAGAATACTAGAAATCATTTACCTCAACTTTAAATTGTATAAGATTTTAGTATAATAAGTCAATAGCAGAATTTTTAATATACAAAATAAAGATTTAGATTTCAAAACACAGATTTTATCTTTAAGATACAAATAAAGCAGCAGATATCTTTAACTAAACCTTCCCCACCCTTTTAATCTCTCATCTCTGAATAGCTTTAAATTAAACATTAAAAATGTATGTTAATTCTGAATTGATTAGGCCAGATATCGACGGGTTTCTAATCATTAAGAAAAAGGGGCGCGCTCTTGTCATAACTTTTCTTTTCTAAACGCATTCAAAATCGACGGCCTACGCAACTCTTGCGATAACACGCACAGGCAAGAAAGTCCAATAAAAAATATACACAACAAAAAATAAAAATACAACAAAAAATCGGAACAAAAAAACACAGAAATCATAAAAGAGAATTTAGTTCAAATGAGTTCGTTGACACAGAAAGGCAAGAAATCAAAATAAAATTAAGTTTTCCGGTGCGTGCGATCCCCACACTCTCTGTTGCCGACCCACACGCACGATTTTTAATCAAAATAACTAAATAGTGTTAGTTATAAGATAGTAAAAAAACTTCGTCACTGATTAGTAATAGTACTTGAAATAATAAATAAATAAATACCTAATCTTAAGGCGCCTCGGAAACCCTTGCCAAATGGCAATCGCTTTTGCCATGAACTTGAATTTTTCGAAAGACCTAAAAAGAAACCAAATTCGATTGTGAAAGTGCTCTCTCTCTCTTTATTTTTATTTTCTAAATTCTCGACGAGAACTGATTTCTAATCGCATTTTTCGAGTGCTGTAATTAGATGTGCGTATCGCGAAAGTCTTTCTATTTTCTTGCCTTTATTTTTGGGGTGAAAGTTTTCGCATTTGCTCCATGTTTCTTTCATTTAGATTTCATTTACTTGAGTCCCCAGTAGAGCGTTATCTATTGAATATCAAGTTGTGGTGTGCATTTACATCTTTTTGTCACCTGTGGCTATTTATCTTCGTGAAGGAGAAAAAAAAAAATAAAACTCAAGCCTCAGGCCCAGAGATCCCAAAGAAATAGATACAAAAACTTCAGACACGTGTCGATCGTTGTGGAAGTTGCCTAGTCATAATTGTAAATTTTTATAGATCTCCCAGAGAATTCGGAGAGGCCCAAGAAAAAAAAAAAACAATTAAGCCGAAAAATATCAAAATTCATTGAATGAAAGTCTATACAAGTGGTAGATATATATATAGTATATATATATGTATATAGATTTGCCTTTTGGACAGCCATTTGTCTAGGCAAAGGAAAGGAAAAAAATGCGTGGCGTACGCACGCTTTCAAAATAAATTATATATGCGGCGATGATACGATTTTATATAGACAAATGCGTTTTGCCTACGTATATATATTATTTGTATTTATATATCTGGATATCCGCTTATGTGTCGGTGCTTTTCTGGTTGTTTTAAAAAGATTTATTTGCCAAAAAATATGACGACGAAAGAGCAGTAAAAAAAACACTGTGCAAATGGGCAACTTTTGCGGCCTGCCACTTCTTGATTTTCTTTAATTTTAATTTCTGTTTTATTTTGTATTTTGTATTTTTGCTTTTCAACTTTGTCAACACAAGAAAAGGGAAGAAGAAGGAGAACAATGCAGATTAAAATGAATAAGAGAAATGATAAAGGGGAAGTAGAGGAAATAAATCTTATAGCGAAGATTCAAGTCCCTTTAAAATTCTTCAGAAGTAATTATTTTAATATGGTTTTTTATTAAACAATATAATTTTAAGTCTCTCAAAACATATTTAAGAAGAAAACAGAAATAATATCTGAGTTATTAATAGATACATTTGAAGGTCTCATTTAGTGCAAACATTTTTATAAATAGTTTTTGTGTCTGCAAAATGTTAATGATAAAAAAACAAGCTATAAAAAATAAAGCTACTTATTTAAAAACATATATATAAACCAGTTTTATTTGTTTTAGAATATATTATCTGACTTTTCTTTAGTTCCCATTAATAATACATTTCCATTTTATGCTTCAAATGCATTTAAGTATTTAAAGGTATTTAATTTTATTTGGTTTAGCCATTTAAATTCTATAAAAATTAAGCAAATATATATATTTAATTTCCATAAAAATGAAATCTATAAACAAAAGATACAGACTCATCCACAGACTCTTCTCTGACCACAGAAGACTTGAAGAAGACTTGTACTTTATTTTTTATGTTTTATATTTTTTCCACCAGGCATATCGAGAGTGAAGAGATGTTGTTGTTTGTGGTGTTTTTATTGCTATTGTTGTTTGTGTTATGCGTTGCGTTTAAGTCAAGTTCAAGGACTGTCAATTAAATTGAAATCACTTGCTAAAGACGAGTCGGCAAAACAAGCTTCCAGATGAGTAGAGCCGGGTATTCCGTGAGGGGGAGACCCTCTTCTTGTGGCTTCTCTACTCTGTATATATTGTATCTGTGTGCGACTTTTTGTATCTATGTGACGCTTGTTTTTCTGTTCGATTTTGCACGCAGCCTGCTTACATTACACTGGACTTTAAGATCAAGACTTAGGGTAAAAGAAAAGTCTCGGTAAAAAGGTGTTTTAAATAAGAGAATTATTATAGATAGCTTGGAAGCTTAAAAAATATATAATTTGTTTCAAAAGTAATTTAATTTCTTAGTTTTTCATCAAATATTTTGATTAGTAACATCTTTTATTCACCAAAAGCTTGTATCTCTTTTAGTGTATCTTTTTTTTGTAGTAAAAAACACTAAAGTATCTTGTGCTGTTCAGTGTTATTATTATTATTGCGAATGCTGCGGAGTTATAGTGCCGTAATTGTTGATGATCATGATTCGTCTTCCCCTGGGTTTTTCTCATCTCTGATCTTCTGCCATATTCTAGGTCTTGAATATGAATGTCTTGAATGATTCTTTTGTATGTCAAGCTTGCTCAGCTTTAAGCAAGTCAAGTGCTACTTCTGGTTCGTTACTAACCGAAATATATAGATACAAGAATGTATCTCTAGTGTGGCTTTTGTATTTGCCAAAAGAGAGGGCGTGTCCTCCTCCAGAGAATATACATCTCAAAATTGACATGAAAAACTGGGTCTTGTCAAGAGGTCTGCAGACTTTGAGAGGGAATTTATAGAAGAAAGGCAAGATATATGGTTAACTTGTGCCTTAAATTCAAAGAAATGTATCTAGAAACTTGAATTTAAGTTCTTAATTAATTCTATATAAGTATCTAGGGAAATACTTATACCTTTGTCCAGAATAAATTTGTTTCTGGTACCTAAAATTCGTTCGCCTTTCTGGAGTTGAAAAATTCCATCTGAAAGATATATCCAGCTAACTAAAGCAACAGGCTTAACCCAGCCCAATCCAAGTCTAATTTTAAATACAAATCCATATCCAAATCCAAATCCATATCTAATGACAATGCATACGACCCAGGGGCGATTCCTAACTGTGTTTTTAGGCCAACTTTCAGTTTCTCAAAATGTGAATCGAGGTTTTCATATCAAATGTGGTCACAGCCAGCGGCGGTCTTAAAATAAATGCATAATTAATGACGATATCGGTGGTACGTATTCGTATATATGTTTCTTTTCAGTTGATTAACATAATGCCGCTGCTGCCGCCATATAAAATTATCAACTTGGACTTGTGAATAAGACCTAGACTCTGTGTACAAATGCTTTACACGTGCTCTCTGAACGAACAAATAAAGAAATATCGATCCATAGAACCATCGAACCATGACTAAACTTTGTGGAAATTGTCTTTGTGTCCATCGATGATGATGAGTAAATGCTTCTTGGCACTTTGTTTCCCCAAAATGTGTACTTTTAACAGATAAAACGAATGTCAATCCATCAGATAAAAATGTATATATATAGAAAAGGAAAAGGAAAGAAAAGGAAACGGAAATGCTGGGAAGGGTAATGGTTCTATTTGGAACTCTGTCTGTCAATATTTGGCCAATAAAAGGCATTTTCGCTTCGTTTTGTTAATCAATACACAAAATTTGTTGTTGTTTTTTGTGCCTTTTTTTGTGGGTTTTATTTTTGTTGTTGTTTTGTAGAATATTTTGTATGCCAAGAATTTAAATTAGTAGTAAATCTGGTTTTGTGATTTCGGGTTCGTTTCTCTCTCTTCCTCTACTTTTTCTTCTCTTCCCAACTCTGTTCTTGTTTTTGTCTGCTCCATCTTCTGTTTTCTTCTTCTTCATTTTATTTTTTCTGCGACGTTATTACAGGTGAATTTTTGTATAGTTTTTTTCCCCCACTTTTTGTCTCAGTTTTTGGGCTTTGCTTTAGTTTGTTATTGCCTTCTTGGCTTGGACTGGGACTGGAACTTGGCGGAATCAGAAAACAAATTAAATGAGTTTGCCTGAAATCGAAATGCTTTGGGCCATTGATCATTTATTGATCGCCGCCAAAGTTGAAAGCAAACTCCCAAGAAAGATGGGAATTGGTGGAGTCCAAAGAAAGAAGGGGGAGAAAAAAGAGCATGGAATCTTTCGGGTTATAAAAGAAACACCTTATTTATCATTTAATTGCAAAGTTCTGTATTTGGTTATTAGGAATTTGATTTTGTTTCCCTTGAACTGTGAATTAAATTACATGCTTATGGGGGAGCTTAACTGTTGTTTTTGCTATATTTAATTAAGAATAGAAATATTTATATTTGAGAAAAATTCTTTGGCACTCTCTAAACTTTTTATAGGTTTGCAGGGTATATCGCTTTCGGTCAGAAGCTTAAAACACATTGAAGGAGTCCTTTCCCACCCTATAAATCATATATATTCTTGATCAGAATCAACAGGCGAATCTTTCTAGGCATAAAGGAAAGAAAAAAAATTTTGGAAATTTTTTGAAAATTTTATAAGGGGTTACATCATTAAAATTATCAAAAAATTAACAAAAAAATGAATTATTTTAAATTTAAAAACTCAGTATGCAGATTTGTTTTCCCTTTAAAAACTAGCATAGACTCGCTTGCCGAATTGAAATTAATGCATTTTTGACTTAGTTATGACTTTTTTAAATTCGGATTTGAAAAAAAAAAATTTATATATAAAAATATAGATAAATATCAACTAAAAAAATGGTATTTTTATATAGCCCATTTCGCTATGAAGAAATCATTTCCGATCCTATAAATCATATATATTCTTGATCAGCATTAACAGCTAAATCAATTTAGAGATGTCCAGTCAAAAAATACATTTTTGAAATTTGTTCGAAATTTCAAATTTTTATAAATCATTAAAATTGTCAAAAATTGAAAAAAATAGAAATTTTTTAAATTTTATATTGAGTATGCAGATCTATTACCCTTATAAAAACTAGAATAAAACTACTTCCTGCATTAGGATTAATGACTTTTTGGCAGAGTTATGCGTTTTTTAAACTTTGATTGGTTCTAAAAACGACATATAAAAATATAGATTAATATAATATATTATTAATATATTTATCTGCTTTAATATAACGTTGATTTATATTTAAATTCTTAATCTGAAGTCTTCTTATAATAAATTAAATCATTATTATTCAAAGCTTAACATTTGCCTTAGAAACTCGTTTTCTTATAATAATAATTTGTAGACACATAAACCTAATGAATAATTGAAAAATGTACTTGCTTGACTTTCTCTATGAACATGAACAAAATAAATAATAACTAAATTATATCTGCAAGGTTTTTTGAGATAAAATTTAAAAAACCAATTAAATATATTAACTGAAAGATTTTTAAATTCATTAAAAAATACATTTAATAAACAAATTTCTAGGACAACCTTATATATACTCGATATTAAAACACTTTCGGTAATTTCTCTGTCACTTTCCGATTTGTTTCCTGCTGTTTTTAACATCGTTTCAACTGTTTCTCTTTTAAAATTCCAATATATAAATACTTGTGTAAATATTTACGATCACTCAAATATAAGATATATATAAATGGACAACGATAACGAACCCCATGTGGGTCAGCTGGAAAATATTGTGTTTTTTTCTTTTTCATCTGATTTTCTGGTTTCTGGCCAGAACAAACACTCTTGTAATTGAGGTACAAAAGTGAAACTCTGGGCATAAACATTTACATTTGATTAAACAACGTTTATTGGCTTTTGTTCGATTTATTTTAATACTTTACGCTGATTTTAAGGCTTTCGTTTTGCGAGGACAAAAAATAAATAAAAATAAAGACGAAGATGAGCCCCACCTCTCATTGGGTATCTGTATCTTCTCTGCATCTCGGTGCATCTTTATCTGTGCGTATTTATTTTGGTTTTACGGCATGTAATTACCCAGGGAGAAGGAGAGAGACAGAGAGAGAGAGAGGGAGAGATTGAGTGAGTATATATTTACCAGGGGTGTAAGCAGCAGAAATTAACAAAAGGGTTTTTACAAGTATCTTTACTAATTTTAAAGGACTTTTACCTTTATCTTTTAAGTATCTTCTTTGGACTAGATGTACAATATTTTTCTATAATTTCTGGGGGGTTCTCTAGACCCAAAGAACCCCCTCTGACTACACCACTGTATTCTTGAGTTGCCTTTTGCCTTGCGTCTTATCATTATCTCTCCAGTGCGTATTGTGTATTGTGCGCTTTCTGATTGCTCTGCCCCCTTTTAACCTTTTAAGAAAGATTTCTTAACCCATTACGATTTCACTCAATGCAGCGTATCATTTTTTGTAGGCCGTCCCAAAAACAGAAAAAACAGAAACAACAACAAAATTACATGTTTCACTTTCTCTGGCGCCTCGAAAAAAAAAAATAACAAGAACGGAAAGGAAAAGATAAATGCTTAGACATTGTCTGCTTCTTCTTGGCATTTTCTATGGCATTTTGAAATACATTTTCGGGTTTTCTGCTTTTGTTTTTTTTTTTGTCCATCAATCAGAGAACATTTCTTTTTCTTCATTTTCTTTTGTGGCCTCGCATTGAAAAGGGAAATTTCTTTAGCCCAATTAAATTAAAACAAACAGAATCAGGTTATTCCAGGGATTTCTGTATTTTTTCTGTATTTACGTTGAGTGCAATTCCGTTTTGCAGAATTTATTAATCGCAATTTGCAGAGGTTCTTCGAAGCAGGAATAAAGCTGATATCATAGGAAAATTTAACAAGCTGATGAAATTTTAAGATATTCCCTAAATAAATTCCTGGAACAAATTTCATTGTGTTAAATGAATAATTGACCTTTTTCCCTGCTTTAAGTTTCCACTTGAAGAACTTCCCTTCAAAGTTCTGAGTCTAGGTTTTTTTTGTGTGTCTTTGGATAATTTGTACCATTAATTTATTTATTAAAGCTGTACTTACGCTTATCGCTCCTGTTTCGCTTTCTGCTCTGGCTGTGCTTGCCGCTTTTCTGTATTTATTTATTCATTCAGCATTCGCTACGCAATTTACGCGTCTAATTTCGTTGTTGTTACTTTTGCTTTTTCACACACCGAATTTTGTTGTTGTTAATATATATATAATTTTTTATTTTCATTTAATTGCACACATAATGGACACAGAAATTAAATGCTATATTTTTGTATGTGTTTTGTGCGTTGGAAAAACACGCACACAGCCAATTGAGAATTGTATTTATTGTGGCTGCGTTTTTTTATTACTTATGAACATGAAATTATTCGAGCACTCACTAAAAAATGGATTGGCACTTTGTAAAATCAAGGAATTGTGTATTTAAATAATTTTTTAATGATTTTTTTCTAATATTTATAAGAATTATTTGCGAGTGAATAGGATTAGGCACATTTATTTAATTATTTTTATATGAATAAGAGCTTAAAACGGGTTTTAAATTATTATTTAGGAAGTTTTTGTCTTTGTCTTTGTAATTTAATGGAATTTTAAAGAGTTTTGTAATTTTATAAAGCGGTTTTAGGTTGATTTTGATGGTTTTAAAACCTTAATAATTTTATAAGCACAAGAATTTATTTTAATATTTAGTTATTACTTCAAAATTTATATATTTGTTTAATTTTTTACACGTTTTTAATTTCTTTTTAATTTAAAAACAAGTATTTTTCGAATTTTCTGTGCTTCTGTCACATCAGGGTATCCCTTGGATACGGGTGTGTGCGTGGGAGTTGGAGGTTTTTATTTCGGAAACAGAAAACGCAACCGATTCGATACGGAACCGAAAAAAAACCCCGAAAAAACACGGCTTTTCGAGCAACGCGTGCACTGACAACGAGGTGCGAGCGGCAAAAACTCGAGAATAAGCAAAGTGCGGCTCAATTTATACGACGAGAGACGCAGACGACAAGAAGATACAGACTGGCGCACACTGAGACAGACGGACCAGAGGCCGAGGCAGCGGCAGATGCAGATACAGATACGAACACAGGCGCGCACTGTATCTCGAAGATACACACGATCGCCGCGGACAGATAACAGCGCTGAGCGTCGCTGCCGGCGTCGCAGCTCACGCAATGTTAGGCTGCAATTAGAATAGAATGGCTCTCTTTCGCTGCTCTCTTTTGCGGGGGTGGTCGCTCTTTGCCTCTGTTATCTCTAACTCGAGCTCTTGCGCTGCGCTCTCGCTCTCTCTCGCTAGCTCTCTTTATCTCTTGCTCTCTGGGACTCTCTGTGTGTTTTGGTTATAATATTTTTGTTGGTAGCAGCAGCAAAAGTGTAGTAGATTTTTGGCATTTATCGTCCCGCATTTTGGTATTTGCATACGCTCAATATGCACGACCCACATTATACACACGCGTTGCCATATGTACACACATATATGTGCTACTCGCACTCGCTGCTCGTCCCCATATAAATAAAAACACAGAAAGTACATATTACCGCCTAGCCTATCGCCCTCTCCCTCGCTCTCGCCCCCCCACACACTCACGCACCACACCGCACACATACAGTTTCAGGCGCTAAAGTTCCGCTGCCATCGGCACAGTTCGAAAAACGGACTGAAAACAGCCGAAACTTTTTTCATCGCCCCAACGGTCTCTCAGTCGCTGTCGCAGTCGCCGCCGGCTTCGCAGCTGGGTGTGCAGCTGTTTGGGGGCTGTTGGGGCTCTGCTATGCCGCCCGCTATGTTAGGGCTCTGTTACATGGCTGTGGGAATGCTTGGTTCTGTAAGTTCGCTGTTAACAGAGGTGTGCGAATGCTTTTATTAAAGGGATTTAATTTTATATTACAAATTATATATTGATTTGTTAGTAAAAATGTTTAAGTTGTATGATTTTTTTTTAAATAAATAAGTAATACATTGTAACCTTTTGATTCCCGTTGAAATACGCCTTTGGAAAGAAAAATGTGATAAGGAGCCGGGGCTTGACCTGTCTGTGATTTCATTGATTGATTTTTCTTGTCATTCGACAGCTGTTGCCTCTCGCAAAGGATACTTTCAGGACTTAAAAATAGTCTAGAAGTTAAAGAAGTTATATAAAAGAACTAAACTAAATTATATTATAGATTCCTTAAAAGTATCCAATTAGGTAGCCACCTTATCAATAATAAAACAACAATTTTTTTACGAAATGTAATTATATAATTTTAATAACGTACATTTTATTTCAAGCAATTTCAAATAATTAATAAATTATTTATGCAATTTTCCTTGACTAACTTTCTGGTCATCTACATAGAATATCTATCTATATTCATATGTGCACTGTACATATCAATTGGGCGCAAGGTCGTCTGGCAGTCTAACTGTCAGATACTTAGATACATTCACGCATATATATAGTATGCAAGTGCTTGTAATAACACTGGTCAACAAAAACTGGATACTATTTTTAATTTATGTAATTTGATTTAGTTTGAAGTCAATCTATAAAATTGTGTTTATTTGTTATCAAAACTTAGTAATATTTAATTAAGTTATTCGATTTTGTTTTAGATCATTTTGTAAGCTTGGAAATTAGTTTCTTTCTAATGTTTTAGTTTATCATTAGTTAAAAAGTATAATTTCATATGGAAATTAATATTACCTTTGACAATCATTGGCTTTTTGGCGTTCGTTTATCTCAAAGATCTCCAAAAATATGTATATACCAGTTATTAAAACGATATTTTTATAACATAATAAAAATAATATAATTTTATGGGTAAATCAAAGTTTTTCAAATATCATAACTCAGCCAAAAATGAAATAATTTTAATTTGGTAAGCGGGTCTGTGTTAGTTTTTAAAGGGAAAACAAATCTGCATACACAGTTTTTAAATTTAAAAAATTCAATTTTTTTTAATTTTTGACAATTTTAATGATCCCTATCGTTTTTTCGAAATTTCCAAAAAATTTCAAAAATTTAGATTTTTCCTGGACATGGCTAGACCGATTCAGATGTTAATGCTGATCAAGAATATATATGGTTTATAGGGTCGGAAATGATTCCTTCATTGGGATTCAAGCTTCTGGGTATAAGAAAATGGCTCAATTTAGACGACCCTTCAATAATATTTACACTTTGATAATATTACCATATTTTATTTTTGTTTTATAACAAATTTATAAATAACATTATCCTCTAATAAATTATTTTTTCCCAACCAGTGTTATCAAATCAAATTGGAGCATTCTAACTCGTATCTATTGGATATTCTTTTGGCAAGCTCCAATCGTCTGAGTTGCTGTTGCTATTCGCAATATCGACATATCGCTATATCGATTCGCAATTGCAATTGGAGGTGACTAGAGACGGCTAATTACGTGACATGTTAGACGCGAAAACGAGTTAAACACGCTCCTTCGATTTGTGTAATTAATTGCAGACATCGGTGCAAATGGAGAGCTCAAAATCGAATTCACCTCGAAATGTGCATTGAACTTTTGCGTTTGTTGTTGTTATTGAAGTTGATGAATGTTGTTTTCCCTTTTTCGCAGTCATTTCGCTGTTTTTTGTAACCAATTCTAGTTGCACTCGGATGCTGATAACCCAAAGATGAACCCGCTGCCAAAGGAGGGCGGGGGATCTTTTCGGTCGCTCGTCGTCGAGGAAATGCTGGAAATGGAAAAATGAAATAAAATAAAAAACCAGCTGATGTAAACAAATGGAGAGTAAATAATGACAAAGTCGAAGAAATTCCTCACAAAAACGTATATTTGTTATTGTTTGTTGTATTGACAACATCGCTGGGCTTATCGCTTAACCGTTGTCTGATCAAATAAACATATGTACATATTAATATGTGGTGCATACAATGTTTTTTTAGGTATATACAGTGGGACATCTCTAAGAGGGACTATATTTTCAATTAATAAAGGAAAGATTCTTTCAAGAAATAGGTAAATAAATGTAGAAAATATATTTTTGCAGCCTTTAATATAGGAAATCCTTAATTCTTATGAACAGAATACCTTAAAAACGTCTTTAGGTAGCTCTCAAAATTTCTGACATTATTCTAATATGTTCTTAGCTTTATTGAACTGCATACTTCCTTAAATCTACCTCTAAACTTTTTTATTATCCCATACAATTAAATCAGTGAAAAAAAACGGAGTTTTCTGGGTCTTGTAATCATTTCCGAAGGCAGGAAGCTTGAACCATTCAGAGTTTGCCTCTAATGTGTGTCAAGTGTGATAAGAAATGCCATTGTAAGTGAGTATTATATGGATTCTGAATACGGTTTGCATTCCTCATATGAGACATTAAATGCAGCCTCCCTCACAACACTCCATCAAGGAGAGTGCCTGCCATGACTAATTAAGTAACCAAAAAAAATATATGAAAAGAAGGCGAAAAATAAAGCTGCTCAAATTCTCAGCATTAAAACGTGCCGACAACTTTGTAAAGACTGCCAAAAATGCACATTATATATTTATATTCTCATATATATACGATGTTTGGACTTCCCCTTTAGGGAATTTAAAAAGGGTAGCTTTGCTGTCAAGAGAAGTTCGTGCAAGTTAAAATGTATTAAATATTCAAAGAAAAAAGAAAGAAATGAAATAATAAACTCTATTACATTCCAATTTAATTTAAACTATTTTTGAGACAATCTTAGAAGTTCAGAAAAAATAGTGGAGATATTATATGATCATCATATAAGTAGGGAATGGAAAATATTATTTTTAAATACAAAACTATGTACAAAAATACAATACAACTGTTGATTGTTAAGATATCAATATTAGCTACTTGGAAATATTTTTTACAATATTTAGAATTTATTTATATAAGGAAGAAAATAAAGAATAACTCCGATTATTGTTGAACACGTTACTAAGACCCTAAAATATTTCCACAGATGAGAGTATCCCTATGTTCAAATACTGAAAACCCCTAAAAATTCCCCACATATCCTTTCCAAGTAATGCCATATGCATTTTCAATTCTTGGACCTCTTCTGCCCCGTGTGAATCATGAGCATTAAGCATAAAACCGACATTTAGCTGATTGATCTTAATAAGAATTTCTGCGGCAGGGCGAGGAGGAGGACTTGACTGCTAACGGATCGTTGGAACGACGAAGACGGGTCAATAACATTTTTCGGAGGCCTCCTCCGGGATTCCTTTACCATATCCCCATATCCATGTCCATGTCCACGTCCATGTCCGAATCCAAGTCGCAATTTGAGGGCGTTGCTGGGCTGCGCCTGCGCAACATAAAACTTTGTTTTGTTTCCTTGCAAAGTTTCCTTCGGTTTTTGTTTCTTTTTTTTTTTGTTTTAATAACTCAGTCTCTCAGTCGAAATGGGAGTTGGGGAAATAATATTTTTTTAGGGAGTCGGGGTTCCCTTGTCGGAAATTAAATTTTGAATTCGCTGAGTTATGGTTTTAAAGTCTCTTTATTCTGCACCCAAAAGATCTTACGATATCTTGTCGTATCTCTCAGATTTGCACTTATTCTCGGGCAGAACGGATGTCTGTGCTCGATTTGTTAAATGAAATTTGTCGCCAAAAACCACACAGAATTTGCAAAACAAATTTGTTTTTGACCGCAGTTCTGTCTGTCTCAACTGTTGCATATTTCATATGTTTTGATTCTTGGTGCTATAGCTTTATGTTGATTATTCCTTCAGATTTATGCGCAAGTGCTTAATCGACAAAGGGGGGAAGAGCTGAAAAACTGTGCCAAAAATAAAATAAAATCAGAAAAGCTTTTTATAAAAGTTCTAGCTGTATAATAACAGGAGAACTATATCGAAACCCTTATAAAAAATCCCCAAAAATATTATTAAGAACTTTGCCATATTCTTTTTCCAAGAATTAATATAAATTCACTTGAGTGCATTTAATTTTGTTCTCTCAAGGGTGACAATTTTTCTGTTGCGCAATATCTGGTGCCATCGTCTACCAAATAAATTAAATTAAATTGCAAAACAAAATAAAGCAAAACCTGATTTTTATGTCTGCAATTCAAATTAAATGCAATTAAACTGAAATTGATAGAACAATTCCAGACAGACCTAAATTTGGAGGTTTTCTCTTCGGTTTTGCACTTTTTTTATAGCACTTGACAGCATCTCTTTTTTTTTGATCCTTTGAAGGTCTCAGGTTTCGCCTATTTAAATTCTAACCTTTTAAGGACCTTTTTTTTAATTTCGTCGGGCTTCTCCTGTCTGCTCCCTGTCTGCCTTTTATTTGTGGTCCCTTTGTGGATATATATATTTATATATACATATATATTTTTTTGTTATTTGCTTTTTGGGTTAGACGTTAGTCAAGTTTTGCCCTTTTTTTATGTTGTTTGGGTTAGTCTGCCGAATTTGGTCTTTGTTTTGATTTCACATTTTGATATCATTTTTCGCATGTGCCAGAAGGGCTTTGTGTTCTAAGCTGTGTTCTACTTGTGTTTATATAGAGTCATTAGAGATGCTTAAAAATTATGTAATAAATATATATAGTAGAAGAAAAATTATTCAAAACTTATGTATAATTTTTATATATAAATACTCTTGAATACTCTTTAGATGGAAAGGAAAGATTTGGATAATTATTAATAATATCCAAAATAATCAATTTGAATTAAACAATCAGTATGTTAGAATATATTTGTTATCTAGTAATAGTTCTAGGAGTTTCCCAATTTTAGTAATTTACAAATTATTATACTATACATTAATTTTATACTATACAATTACTCTAAGCTTCTTCAGTAATAATAATGTTATAATATATTGTAGGTTAAGGTTAATATTATAATATTCACATTAAAAAATCTAAGAAATTATTATATTTTTCTATATATATAGCTTTTACTGCTCATCTCTAACAAAAATATGCTTTGTTTATTTTTTTGCACCATTCATCTCTTTCTCGCCCATATATCTTTTTCGCTCTAGCTTTCAATCTGAATCTTTTGGCTGCCGAAAAAAAGTATCCAGACATTTGTATCTGTATCTGTGTGTGTTCATGAGTATCTGAATCTGCCGTCTGGACTTTTATTGTACAGCCGACCTTGAATTTATGGAAATTGCATAAGTGGAAACAACTTTGTCATATTAAGCGATATATATATATACACTCGCTCGAATAACAACCATGGACAAACAATAACACAGAGGCCTTGACATTGTGCTGAAGGACTTGAAATAAAAGAAAACAGGGAAATAGCTTTGAGTTATGGCATTTGTTAATTTATTAAGGATATATAATGAAACAATTAATCTACCACTCCCCGAAAACGGTTCAGAAGTTACTTCCTGAACCTGATATTTATGGGATTCCTTAAGCGTATCTCAAATCACCGCCAAATGAATTACAAACTTGCCCCAAAGGAGCAAGAAAACAAATAATGATCAACCTTCTCCTCCTCGCATAATACCTGTACGACCCTTGCATATCCATGGGCATATCGATAACCCTTATCAAATGTCCGGCATCGCCAAAAACACAAATTATGCTTCACCCAAAAAAGAAAGAAAGAAATGCATAAGCAAATTTATTAAATGAAATCGATTTGTATATACCCTGCATGTAAGTCGGAGTATTCATCAAAAGAAGAAAGGAAACTAATTTCGGAAAGGCGAAGTGTGTATACCCCTGCTAATGAATTATAGGATCGGAAAACTATTATAAATAAGCATAAAATGTAAGTATTTTTTAAACCAATATTTATGGATATTTTTATATGACAATCCAAGTTTAAAAAACTCATAACTAAGCCAAAAATGCATTAATTTCAATTCGGAAAGCAGGTCTGTGCTAATTTTGAAAGGGAAAACAAATTTGCATACTCAGTTCATGAAGTTAAAACTTTCAATTTTTTGTCAATTTTTGACAATTTTAACGATGTAACCCCTTATAAAATTTTGAACAAATTTCAAAAATTTATTTTTTACCGGACATTGCTAGAACGATTTATCTGTTAATGCTGATCAAGAATATATATGATTTATGGGGTCGGAAATGATTCCTTCGCCTCATTATATGCTTCTTACTAAAATTAAAATACGCGTCAAGGGTACATATAATAAGGCCAGCTCTAATACCAAATAATACAATAAATATCATTTATATTATCCGCAACCTTTTTGACATAACATTAAAGTATCTTATCTATTTTTAGGAAACTTTTTTATCTTTATATTTTAACATTTTAATAATGTAAATTATATAACTTCCTTAAGTCCAGGGTATAAATGCATTCCAGATTATGCCACCAATGTGAGCTTAAACATTGCTCACCTCCGGGGAAGTGGGCGTGGCACTTTTAAGTCCACCAAAGACAACAAAGATGAAAACACACAGACAATCAAAGTTGCGCTTCGGAATTTAAGTCCCCTTCAAATTGCAGTAATTTTAGTTTTTTGGATAAACTTGGCCGCTTTTATTAGTTTCCAAAATTACTGAAATTAGTAAAAAGGCATCCGTTTTCAAAAAAAGGTAAAAGTGGTTTCTTTTTTCACTTTCAACATGATTTTCAAAACACTTGAAACAATTTATAAATGTTTAAATTAATTTATAAGAAAGGAGATATAAGGAAAGGTTCCTTTTACAATATTTTTATAAGCTTTGATTAGTTTATTTTGATTTTAAAAAATATTTAACAAATACTTCAGTTCAAAAATTATAATTGAGAACGATATAAACTAGTTAAAACACTTTTTCCTGGTACTTTACATCACCTAAAAACTAAAACTAAATTAATTCGATTGCACATAAAAGTTATTCTGCAAAATTCTCTTTCAAATATGATGAAACGTCTTCGGGTGTCCGCCGAAGGACTATCTCGGATGCAGAGTGAGTTGAGCCGAATGCGAGGAGCCTTCGATACCCATCAAAGGCAACGTCAGAGGCACGCTGTCCAGCATCACCCATCAACCTCGGAGTTCGCCAGCCAGGCACCCAGCACCACCACGATGCAGGCTCGTCTCCACCGGCACCCAGAGCCTGTGCCACAGCCCACGCCACGGAAAAGGGTTAAGTCCGATATGCAGAACTTGGCCGACATAATCCTCCAGCAGGCTCATCGCATCGAGAAGCAACAGCAGGAGCTGCACTGCCTCAAACTCCACTACGAACGCCAGGTGTCCACCATCAAGAGTAATGCCAAGATGCTGGAGCAGCAGCTGGAGAAGCTGCAGAGCAATGTCACCAAGAGCAGGGCCCAGCAATTGGGCAACCATTATCAGGAGATCTTCGGTGCTGTGAAGAAGCTACAGAAATGTGGACTCGATCTTTCCCAGACGCATACCATTGCCAATCATTTGCTAACCAATTTACTTACCAATCAAAAACACTAGGAAAGTGATAGTTAAATTTATTAACCCATCAGGAAAACTAGGAAAAGGATAAGGACGTGTAGCATCCTTATCCCTCTCCTAGTTTTCCTGATGAGGTTAAAAGAAGTGCTGGTGATGCCATAACAAAATTTGTTATCTCCAAATCAATATAGAAATTGTGATCGTAGTTCCCTTCGGGAAACCCTTCAAACAAATATCACAAGAGGCTTTCCCATAAGCAGTTCAGTAGGGAGATTAGTGCGTTGCTTAGCCTGTACCCTAATAAATTTTTGCTAAAATCCGAGCTTTACAAAATTCTAAAAGATCTTTTAAAACAAAAAGTACTATTGAAGATGCCCTACCAGGATCGAATCAAGGCTCGGCTTGAGAACGAGGTGACCACCCTACGCCGCGAGGTGACCAGGCTGCGCTCCAGGCAGGAGAAGCGACGCCGGGATCAGATGGATCAGGCTGTGCTACAGGCACAGCTCGAGCAGGAAATCCATGACCTGCGGACCGAGGTGGAGACCCTCCGGCTCAAGCGCAAGGAGCGAGAGTGCGGCGGAGAGGAGAGCAACACAAAGATGAACCAACACTTACAGAAGTTGGACGAGCATGTGGTCAAGCAGGAGCGTTACATAAGCTTCCTCGAGGAGCAGATCAATCACACACGCATCAAGTACGAGCAGAGGATGACCAATGTCCACCAGAGCGCCGATCAGTTGGAGGAGAAGCTGAAGAAGGTGCGCAGCGAGATGCGGACCGTTAAGGAGCAGGCCAGCGAGATGTATCAGCTGAACAAGCGCATGGCCTGCCTCAGTGCCAAGCTGGAGCGACGGGACAAGGTCATCGCCCACTACGAGGCCCAGCAATCGGAATGTATGCGAGTAATTGCGGATCTCATGAAGCAGGTCGAGCTACAGGCTGTAGGGGATGTAGCCGCCGGAAAAAAGCTCGAGGCCACGAACGGCAGCGATCCTAAGTCCGAGGATGCGGAAGATACTGAAGATACCCTCAATGTGATGACTCTCCCAGTTTGTGATCCTCCCAAGCTGAAGACAGCCTCCTACTTTGCCAGCCTGGCAAAGGCTCTAAGAATGAAATGGATGACTAATTATATAGCAACGCTCTTTATATTGTATGGTTAGGGATGTCTTCAGATTTTCAGATCTACCGTCCAAATTAATTGATAAATTGTGTAATTGACTAGTGAAAATTTTAAAGAGTCTTTATAAATATATTGTACTGAAAAATTAAGTAAGCTAAATTTTCTTATGTAAAGCAGTTGTCGGTCAATGGAAAGCGGAACTTCAGTCAGCAGTTCCATAGTCGGGAGAGTTCTTGGAATTCGCCGCTTTACAAGTTCATTGACAAGCGTTTTGAGGGACTGGGAACTGGGGAGCCTCATTCAGCAGTCAAGAGTTTCCCTTGGTGTTAATGACCTGGCGCTCAGAATTGGAAATTTTATAATTGTTGGGGTTCACTAAGGAGCCCTTTACTTGGAAAATTACTTTTCAAGTCAGGGATTTGTTTTGATTTATGAAATAATCACATTTTGTTACTCGTAGCTTAAATATCTCTTAGTAACCATGATAAAATAACTGAATTTAGAAACTTATCGTTGATCTAAGACAACTTTTGACTACTCAAATGATTCATCAACTCCAGTAACAAGTTAGCAATGAGAATGGGCTATCTTTAAGTCACTCGAAATGCACACTCTAGGTCTTGGATAAGTGTCTAGCCCTGTAAGCCAGTCACGTTCAGCTATGCGTTCATTCTAATGCAATATTTCCCTATAAGAGCACGTACCGTCCGTATTGCATAAATATATAGCAAATGATTCAATGCAGAGGGACGGGACCCGCAGATAAAGTGCGTTGTCTATTGAATTCTAATGCTGCACCAGGAAGTGCGTGCAGACAGCGCCAGCGGTCAATTGGAATCGTTTGTGGATAGCAAATTGAGATTGATTGGCTATATCGACGGCACAATTGGGCCAAAAGTTCAGCTCTAGCTCTAGCTCTATTCTCCAGCCACTTATTTCGAGTATCTGTGCGGGCCAATCTTATCTGTAGAACAAGAAGGGGTTCCGAGTGAATCACAGCACTTTTTTCTAATGATGAAATTAACCATTTCTGGATCGATTTTTAGCAGGTTCCATGGCTAACCAGTTCCAGCGACCTTCACACATAAGTTTCTAAGGCGTTTTGGGTGTGGAGCCACGCATATTAACACGCTGCCAGCACCAACGAACGACCCTGAACCGAGTAAGTACCCAAAATATTACGTGACGTCACTAGGGGGGGTGGTGAGCTTCTTCCACTAACTGAAACAGAGCCGGATTTCGCTTGAAGTTGTTATTATTATTATTAGTCCTTAGCTAAACGGCGTACATTACATTATTACATAAATTAAGCACTAACTCGAGGGGCCAGCATTAAATCCATGCGTTTACGTGCCAGAGAAGCTGCGAAAATTGTTTTTCAACAGCAGGACTACGAAGAAAATGCCCACGGCAATGGACAGGAGCTGCACGTTGATCACCTTCGAGTCGACCAGGGCCTGCAGCATGTTGTAGATACTCTCGCTGCGCACTTCGTTGCCGCAGCAGTCCATAAAATAGTGAAAATTCTTTAATTTATAAACTTTTTCTAAGCGCAATTTGTTTTGTTTGCGAACAGCTGTAAAATGAGTGGGGCTGCCGCGTTTTTGGCGTTAAATGCCCTAAAGCCTTGAAAAATTAACTGGTATTTAAAAGCTAAAAGAGACTGGTCCCACTAAGCCTTTCGAAGGGTTGAATTTTTAAGATATTTCTTGATTTCTAGACAATTTAAGATGGTAGAATAGTTTTAGACAGGTGTCTCGAGGTTTAATACAAAGCTTTCCTTAAAATAAGGAAAAAAGGCCGTCAAATTAGCGTCGATGAGTTAGCGTCGAAATGGAACGGCGGGAAAATGTAACATAGAGGTGATCTTTAATTTTTAATTTAATTCGTAATTAAGGCACTAATTCAAATTTACAAATGCTAAAAAATTACTATTGTATTTTAATGAGTTTGAAAGAATTGACAATTGGATATAATAAAATAATTATATAAAAATAGCATGTGAAAAATCATGTTTTCACGGATTTCTTTATATCTCGGCTAATCAGTATTTGGTGAAAATTGCAATTGTTTTTAACCGTCAGATTTCGAGGAAATCGAATAACAGTGGGTGGTGTATTTGGGCTGATAATTAAGGCGCGAACTATGAAAATCGAACCAGATGGGAACCAGCAGAGAACCACTCGCTGAACCAGACCATGGAACCATGTTAAGAAAAATACTAAATTAAATAAAAATAGCAAATTGTTGAATAAAACATTAAGAAAAGTGACTGCCCAATACATGGAAATAAAAAATTTGGTGGGATTTTATCTAAATCAGGGAAAATTACCTATTTATTATTATTTTAGTATATACTACGGCGGAATGTTATGCCGCTCCCCGTCAAGCAAAATCGAACTTATCTTGTACAAAAATCTTACGCCCTTAAATGAACGCGTGCAAAGTTGCACGGTATCTTAAACGATAGGGAAAATATTTTATAATTTCGAATTAAATCTCTATTTAATCTAATCCACAGATTTGTAGCGTTTTCATTTTCCGGTCTCATTCACAAGCACTGGCTTTATATCGATAGGGGCGCCTCCCACACCCTATCGATGAATAGCCCGCCAGAAAAAATTCCAATTGACCATTTAAGCAATTGTGTGAAATATGCATGCCCCATGAATGGAATTGACATTCCAAGCATTTTGGTAGATGTTTCATCAAAATCCGTTCAGCCGTTCAAGAGAAAACATCACTTTTTCATTTATTTCCATAAATGTTCCTTCGAAAAATAAATATATCCGGCAGCCCTGCCTGCCTTTAAACAAGAAAACTTGATTTAAACTTTATGGTTAAACCTATGCAAAAGGAAGATTGTCCCATAGACGACATCGCAGTTCTGAACATTTTGATATATGTTTCATCAAAATCCGTTCAGTCGTTAATGAGAAATCCCAACTTTTCATTTAATGCAGTTGAGTACCAGGGGTGCATAGTCATGCCTCCTCAGTGTATAAATTAATAAATCAAATGTTAATTTCTCCAAAACTACTGAACGGATTTCGATGAAACACCTACCAAATTGCTTAGAATAATGTTATCATTTATTGAACAGACTATTAAATGTTATTTCGAAAATTTGCTTCTCAAATCTAGTGCTTCAATGCCCTTGCTTTGTAATATGATTTTAAGTCAAAAATTTGCAGAGCAGTGAATAAATTATTTCCGACCCTATAAAGTATATATATTCTTGATCAGCATCAACAGCCGAGTCTATCTAGCCCTGTCCATCTATCTGTCTGTTCAATTATAAGCAAATTAGACCCTTATATTAAAAGCTATCTAAATAATACTTTGCAGTTAGTCTTCAATATACTCTCACTAGTATATAATGGATTAAAGTGTTCAGAACTCTAATGCCCTTTATTGCTTTTGCATACATACGTCCTACCATTAAGTTTAAATCACATTCTTTTATTTAATATTCTTAGTCGAACATACACACATACATACATATGTACATTTATGGCAATAAATGAATGTCAGGATTTCTCATTAACGACTGAACGGATTTTGATGAAACGTGGATCAAAACGTTCAGAAATGCGATCCCGTTAATGGTACGACCTTCATTTTGCATAGGTCTAATCATAAAGTTTAAATCAAGTTTTCTTGTTTTTAGGCAGACAGGGCTGCCGGACATATTTATATTTCGTCGGTACATAAATGGAAATAAATAAAAAAGTTGGGATTTCTTATGAATGACTTAACGGATTTTGATGAAACATGGATCAAAATGTTCAGAATTGTGATGCGGATTATTGTATTACCTTCCTGTTGCATAGGTTTAACCATAAGTTTAAATTAAATTGACTTATTTAAACAGGTAGTGATGCCGGATATATTTATTCTTCGCTGGTTCAGCGAGTGGTTCTCGGCAGGTTCCCATCTGGTTCCTTTTTCATAGTTCGCGCCTTAGCTATCAGCCCAAATACACAACCCACTGTTATTTGATTTTCTCGAAATCTGACGGTTAAAAACAATTGAAATGTTCACTAAATATTCGTGAATCTTCCCCTAGTAAGCTTTTATACCGTGCATATATGCACGCGTTCGTAAATCGAATTTTGGATGCCCTATTTTGTATGGAGCTGACCCCGAAGTTAGATCACTGTTATGCGATTTGCTCAAAAACAGACGGTTTGAAGAAATTGAAACTTGTTCAGGTAAAACTACAATAAATCTCCTTTATTTTGACGTATCGGATATTGCTGTACGCGTTTGATTAGCCGCGATATTAAATCGTGAATAAATCCGTGAAAACACAATTTTTCACATGCTTTTCTTTAATATATCCAAATGTCAAATACTTTCAAACACAGGAAAACCAATAGTAAATTCCTTTTTAGCATTTAGATATATTATTTATATTAATAAATTTAAAAATTAACGATCCCCTCCAAGTTTCATTTTCCCACCGTTCCATTGGCGGACACAGAAAAGTTGCCAACTAAGGCCGTCTGTTCTCTTAGTTGGCAACGCGGCGAAAACATAATTCTGAAGCGTTGGCAACGCAGCACAGACAGCTGTTTGCCAATAACAAATTTAAAATTAAATAAATCTACCTGAAATAATACATTATATAGCAGTTTTCGTTTAATATTATATATTCGACATGGTCCTCCGCACATTCACAATACCATTCAAATTCGCTGCATTGCAACCGAAACACATAACTCGCTTGAATTGTGGGTCTAGTTTTATTAATTATTTTAACATAACTATTTGCTATTTGGGGCGATTATTCGTCGTTCTCAAAGTCAGCGGGGTTCTTGCGCGCCAGGGCATGGTGCTTGCGCTCGGTCAGATCGTAGATCAGGTATCCCAGGATGAAGGCTGCAATGGAAACCAGATTGTTATTACCAAAATCCAAAATCAGGGCATTTAGAGGATACTCACGAGGCGCCACAATGAAGACGTTGGAGCGGAAGCGACGGATCATGTTGGGCACACCGTTGCTGATGGCTCCGGCGAAGGCGCGCTGCTCGAAGGGCGACAGCTTGTAGGTGACGATGCCGTGCACCTTGGCCAGGTTGCCGAAGTGGGCTCCATTCAGGATCGAGGACAGACGCATGGTTCAAGCTTCAAGGGAAGAAGCGGTATCGGATTAGCAGCTGCAGAGGAAGTGGACCAGGATCTGGATGAAGACGCAGATCGTTATTATAAACATTATGACGGGCACTGCACTGCTCTGCCTGCTGGGTTATGTAATTTTCGCACTGCTCCGCGTTTGCTGGCGGCCAAGAACGTCTGGCGGTGGGCGCGATCGCTGCACTTTTGGCAGCCCATAATTGTGCATATTTTTAGAGCCCAGCACCTGTCATTGCGGGGAATTATAATGCCAAATTTTACCTTGGAATTCTACTTTTTTTCGTAGCAAAAATTCTTGTCTTCGCCTTGAGCGGTGTGACCGTGGTGGGGGTGGTTGGAATTACCGCGGGGCTGAGCTTTTCAAAAAATACCCTAAAAAAGGCAGCAAGAAACTTTGGCCTGTGCTCAGATGTTCATTTTACATTTACGAGTGTACAGAAATTTCTTACACGTGTACAGATACAAGGTAGAATTCTCATTCTGAAATTTGAATTGTTTAAAAGTCTGGCAGCGCCACCAGCGGAAATACCTTCCTTTTCCCGGCGAACTCTATTAGAGGGAAATCAAGCATTTTTAAAATAGCACTCCAATAACCAGAAATTAAATTATTAAATATTGTGCAATATTGTGTTCCTTCAAGAAATTGCTATGTTTTTATGTGAATTAATTGATTTTGCACTTACATTTCTCAGTATAATAAATTGCGGCTTTAAAAAGTCCACGAATTTTGGAAAAGTATTTTAAGTAACACGCTTTCAGGTAAAATTAATAAATGTTCGAGAAAAGGTTAAAGTGTAAAAGCAAAATACTTGCCTACTCCTTTCACAACTAAAAGTAAATAATGATTATAACAATTCCAAAAATACTTGGGAAAAATGTAGTTACTTGTATTCTCAAATTAAATTTGATTATCATTTATTTTTCATACTTTATTTAATGATCAACATTTTGTACAGCTATGAGATGATGCATCTTACAATTTAATAAATATTTGCGTATAAAAGGACTACACAAATGGACAAGATTTCACAATAATGGCAACAACAATACGTCGTTTTCGGTTTACAATACGTAGACAAAGGTCCAATACAAGGCATTAAAGGCTAGAAACATGGCCGGAAACAGGAAACGCGAACGTCGATCAATCCACATAGCAATCTCCTGCGGCGTCATTGTGGTGAAAGTTGGCGGCGTGTCCTTTTTATCCTTGTCCATGTCCACAATATGATCGTTGCTCGTCGTTCGTTCACTGCAAATGGACACTGTGTCGGCGCACTCGGTTTTAATGATGGGTAAATTAGGCTAGGGAGGGGAAATATTTTTATTATTATGCCTTAAAAGGTTAATGTTATTACTTACATGCACAGTCAGGTAATTGTTGAAGCCCTGATTTACATTGCCATTGCCATTCCGCACACTCTCGGTGCTAGATACTATATTGTCTAGACTGGAGCAGGATCTGGCTCTGGAATCGTTGCTTAGACTACCACCGATTTGTCGTCGTGCCGGTCTCGGGGTCAGCGTCGATTTGATGATATACTTGCTGTTGACCTTCTTCAGCTCGATGTTCTCCTTGCGACGCCAAATCGTATTCACAAAGGCAAACTCCACCAGACTGCCGAATATGAAGAAGGTGCAGCCCAAGAACCAGACTTCCGACACCTTGATGTAGCTAACCTTCGGCAGGGTTTTGCTCTGCGACGAGGATAGAGTGATGAACGACAACATGGTGCTGGTTCCTAAAGAAAAAGTATCACAACATTATTAAGAAATATTGAAGAAACTCTCAAGAAGCGTACCCAGCATAATTCGTGGCGGAGAAGCATCTGCCTGAAGCCAGAAGGATACCCACGATATGGCCACGATCATCATGGAGGGCAGATAGTAGTCCAGCAGATAGAAGCCAATCTCACGCTTCAGGTTTACCGTGAAGCTCAAGGAACTGTAGTTGCCCACTAAGGGTATATCAAAGGGTTATAATATATCCCTAAATAAATATAAGAATCTTATACCGAAAGCTCCATGGCGCAGGTTTAAGCTATCCGCCTTGACAACCGTCGTGTTGTGAAAGTAATGGCCCATGTTGTACTCGGTGAGCCGCATATCCGGATCGAAGGAGATGGGCGAAGGATCCTCCCATTCCAGCACCAAATCGGAGGTGTTGTACATCCCTAGGAACAATAAATAAATATTAATTTCTATGCTAAGCTTTTTTTAATCACCAAAAGACTTACAACTCTCGAGAACCGTGTGGCAGAACTGCTGATCGAAGGGGAACTTCTTAAAGTCCATCCAACAGTACAGAGTTGCCTCCATCCGTGTGGAGATAATCACAGTACCGTCGGGTGCCAGAGAGGTAAGGACATCCTTTTCATCGGTGCCCAGGATGCTGGAGTCGCGTTCGTTGGCAAAGAAGATATGCGGCAGCCACAGACGCTCGCTGAGATGCTTCTGGCCCAAAATGGGGTCGGTCCTTTGGGCCTGGATGAGCTTGTAGGCCAAGCGTTTGTCCTGGAAACGCAGCTGGAGAAGACAATGCATCTTGAACTGCAGCAGATCGGAGTTGAGATTCTGCAGGAAGTAAACGTAGATCCTGGTCTTTACCACAGTGGGTAGACGTGCCGCTGTCACAGGATCGTATTCTAAGGAAAGGAAAAACAAGATAAGGATATATATTAAATATAGAGAGGGTTATCCTTACCAATGGGTCGCTCAAGGCGATCGTAGCGGCAGACATGGGTTAAGCGCTGAATGAGCTGCGTCTGCTGAAGGTTCTCTGCATTCGACAACGATGGACAGTCCTCGTCCTCTTCTGTGGTGTTGGTGGCACTAGAAATATAATTATTAAATTATTATGGCAAATAATTACTTGAAAATAAAACCGTTTAAGGTGCTACTTTAAGAGCTCATTTAAAATTTCTCCAAAGACCTATAGGTATTTGTTTGTCTCCAGGTAACTCTGATCAGCGCGAGCACCTGAGCAGCTGTGCAAGCTAATTTGCTGCTACCTTAAATCGTCAAACAACAAAATAAATGGCAAAATAAAATATAAATAATGAGAAAATAGTATGTCTCTTTGCTTATGGCGTTGGGTTATTATTTTTATTTACCTTACATTTTAACTTTGTTATGTTTAGGATATTTGCTAATTATTATTGCGCAATGCCCGCAAATACTAGAGCATTTAATTCAGAGTTGATCTGCTCTCCCGCAACAGGAAACTAATTATAAACCTATTGATATAGCGCCACGATCTTGAACCTATTCGATAAGAAGTAGGCTTCGACCTTTTGCGCACTTCAAAGACCGAAATGCCGACTGTAAATAATTTTCGCTGCGCATTCGGGAAAATTCTTAATTAAAATTCCTAATCTCAGGTCGCCTGAGGATTTATTTCCGCAAAAATCGTTCGAGATTTATCAGGGGCTTTGGGGGAATTCCACTGGCAAGTGTTAAAGTAACATTTCAATAGGAGTTTGAAGTTTTCCCAGGGACAGGAAATGTTTATAAACAAAGTTACAACCACTTTTCTGGTCATGCGTAACCCGTTTTCCCTTATCGCAGTACGTACCTATCATGTAAACATTTTCTCTTGAACATCGTAAGATTTCATTTTCATTATCAGACAGCATACTTCAAGTGTCTTTATCAAGGCATCTTTGGGAATACTGTTTCGTTTATACTAGATCTTTTTCATCGTTTATTTTATTTTGGAAAGTTACTTGCTACTCTTGTTGCAAACCAAAAACCTTAAAGTTAAATATAGCCAAAGAAGGCGTGTTTTATCAGAGAAAGAGACACATCAATTTGAATTATCAGAAGTTTTCGTGGCTGCTGTGGTTTCTCCTCAACAATCTCGTTCCAACTCACCCAAAAGTGACTCGTAGGCTGCAACTGAAGATCAGCATAATCCACAGAATTTGTCTCAGGCTTTGATGATCCATATTTTATTGTATTTTATTTAATATTTAAAGAGTTGTTTTTGCAACTGATTTCTGTGGTGGTCGCTGGCTAAATGATTCAATTCCGTTGACTTGTCAAATTATATGCTCATGTTTTACACGATCTCCTCGCACTTGCACTTGCACTCACATTCACTTCACACATTCACTTGGCAATTAATGCAAATCCAGCTCGACCGTTGATGTTTTATTCGATTTGTAGTTTTGTGAATTTTCCTAGCAGCTTTTTGTGGAGGACGAGCGTTTGGTTGAGTTGCTCCGTTCTCCGGTCGTCGGCGGTTTGAGATCGCGCCGGGTTTGCGCCCCCCAGAAATACCCGCAAGATGCGAGTCCAACTCAGCTCCGGTGCCGAGCAGTACTGATTCGTGGGCGAATCTACGACGATCTAGCCCTCGGCTCTGTCTCCGATCTCAGCGTTGTTTATTTCGCTTATTTTTTTTTTTTTTGTTTTCCACCTGTCGTTTTCGGCTACTGATAAGAGCAGGTAATAATTTGGTAACAGCTTTCGGCCCCAAAGCCCAAACTCCACTCCGCGTACTCCCACTCGACGACGACGGGACTAGAAGTCGCAATTGCTGGCGGCTGGTCAAGAGCTGGAAGGCAATAGCGCAGGGTCGATTGGGGATCGCCTTACTTATAAGCGTTCTATAGACCATATTATACTAGATACACGATCACCCGCGTGCGTTTAACCCACTGGGAGAAATTGGCGTAGAAAGCTGGGATAATTATATGATTTTCCTATCATTTATCATTTGTTTTATTTTTTTAACTAAATAAATTATAAAGTAAACGGTTGTAAAAGTGAAACAAAAAAGCTAATGTCAAGAAGTTTCAGATCATGATATTAAATCTAAAAACTAGCATAACTAAGCCAAAATGCATTAATTTTAATTAGGAAACCTTTCCTATGCTAGTTTTTGTTAGGGTAATAAATCTGCATACTCCAATGAAAATTTAAAATTTTATTATTTTTGGACAATTTTAACGATGTGACCCCTTATAAAAATTTTAAATTTCGAAAAATTTGTTTTTCTTCCGGTTATGGCTAGATCGATTCAGCTGTTAATGCTGATCAAGAATATATATGGTTTATAGGGTCGAAAATGATTCCTCCATAGCGAAATCAGCTTCTGACTAAAATTCAAATACCATTATTTTAGTAGAAATTTATCTATATTTTTATATATTTTTTTTAAGCAAATCCAAGTTTAAAAATTTCATAACTAAGTCAACAATTGATTGATTTCAATTCGGAAAGCAGGTCTGTGCTAGTTTTTTAAGAGAAAACAAATCTGCATACTCAGTTTATGAAGTCAAAAATTTCCATATTTTGTCAAGTTTTGACAACTTTAACGATGTAACCCCTTAAAAATGTTGAAAAAATTTCAAAAATTAATTTTTTCCCGGACATGGCTAGAACGATTCTGCATTCGATTCTGATCAAGAATATATATGATTTATAGGGTCGGAAATGACTGCTTTAGTGTGTATTAAGCTTTTTGATACCCTGAAAGGGTATAAACTCTCTTTGAAATAATCAAAAACATAAATATCCCTTTTCCAACTATAAATCTTAGCTCTATTTATTTATTTATAATATATTTTACTTTAAAAGAATAATAAAATATACATTTTTGATATTCACTTGACTAAATTCCGAATTTAATGTACATTTTATATACAGTACATTTATTTATCCAATTTTACAGCAACTCGTTCGATATATATTTTTTAGCTGTGCACAAATCGGAAGCATCGCAGTTGCGTTTGTTGTAGCAAACCGGTATCTCCATCTCGTATTGGAAAATGCACCGAATCAGAATAAATAATCGTAACATTTACTTTTTTCTGTCTTATTACAAAGCACATGGGCATTAGCATACCGCGTAGCTGTATGAGCAGTGATCAGTGATCAGTGATCAGCAAGTGGTCTCTCCACAGAGCATATGACTAGATGTTTGCCCAAGTGTCTTATGGCCCCCAACACCCCCAACCGCACACTTCTAATTAAGTTTGTAATGTAATGTTTGCGCACGCTCTCACCTTGTTTGGATTTCACTCCACTTCAACCGCAGATGATCGTCGACTTCCAGTGGGTTCCGCTTCCAATCCCAGTTCAACAAACCCCCATAGATTGTCCCCAAACAATGGCGAAAAACAAACTATTTAATTCTTATCAGACGAACTGCGCGATCCTCCTGGTTGAACGATCGGGCCAAGGGATTATGCTCAGAGGTCGGTATCGGAATCCCAAAGCTCCACTCCCAGATAATACTTATAAGTAAGGCCCAAATAATAACGTTAATAATAATGAGCTGACGAAGGCGACGGACGGCGAAACTAAAGCCGCGACGTGACACAGAATTAAGAGTGTGACAATAATTGAATATATGACAAATGGCCAATAGAGGAATGAGTTAATAACGCTTTGTCAAACACAATTAGTTGGCCAAGTCGGACAGTAGCCTGAAGCTTGAGTGAATCCGAGATTCTGGCTGGTTATGATTGAATGATTTATATGGCAGAAATGTATATACGAGACACTTTTGAGTGGTAACAACGAGTCAATATACGAATTTTTATTCAACTCGGATCTTTTTTTCCAATGAGTAAATGCTGTAAAAGTGTTACTCATTTTGTGAAAAATGATTCAATTTGTCCGCGATGCTGCAAAAAACTAGTCATAATTGTTATGTCTTAAGTAATGTGTATATTATGACGTTGGATTGTAAGTATATATGTATATGGGGAAAGACACTGGGAAAAATATTTACAATAATACAATATTTTGTAATACGGATTACCTCTAGCTCTTGTATAATAGCGACCCCCTATGTCTTAAGGATGTTATTATAATTTTAAGGCAACCTCAGTAATAATGATATATTTCTTGGATCCGTAATTCAACTTTCTTTATATGTAACTCTTGAAATATAAGTTTATCATTAAAGCTTCCCATACTATTACGCTCGTTCTACCTGCGTCAATTCCTTAGCATTTTCTTGGGCTTTTCTCAATTTCTCACCTCTTATCAGCAAAGGGGTTATTTTGGGAACTTTAATTAAATGAATTGCAATTGCTCTCTCATGGCTGAGCATATTTGATCTGTGAATATTAAACAAGAAGAAGGCTGGCTTATTTAATTATTTCTTCGCATTGCCAAGGCAAACAACAAGCACTTGTGGTTGCTTCTATTATTCAGAGTTCCAGGAGCAGAAGCGAATCGCTTATCGTGTGTTTACCGGAGTCATTGCCACGGACCCCTTGGCCCGATCTTGGCCGGATCCGGCGTAGGTGTTGCTTACTTGTGGCCCATTTTAGAGGTTATATTGTCTTATTTGCACCGATTTTTATGGGTCGCCGCCAAGAGCATTGTGATTTCATATTTACACACAAATATTGAACCATTCATATGCGTAATCTTTGAGGTCCTGGTTAGCACGTGATAGGTCTCAATACGAAGGTCTTGGGATCTTTCGCATATTTATCTCACCTGGAGGTGAGTCACCAGAATGACCAGAGAGCTGAGGGTGCAGTGGAGGTGGTAAGTTCTTTATCTTCGGACAACATCTGGGCAGGCAGTAGACAGTTGCTTGTGTTTGGGAACAAGCGAAAAAGTTTAATTAATTAAACAAAAACAATACCAACATGGCGCTGGACTATGCAAATAGAAGTGAGCAAATAACGCAGATAGAACTGCAAATAATCGAAATTAAAAACGTGTGTAGTATTATTATTACTGCGCTAGATAATCGCTCTTGGACTCATTCGATCGATTCGAGGAGTCTCAAGTGGCAGCCGTCTAAATTTAAAGCGATGACAGACGAACGAACTGGGATGGCCCCTGGGTTCTATCTTTTGGGCCTTTTGCGCTGCTTCTTTGGCCGCTTTTTAATAATATTTAGCCAGGCCACTAAATTCTTATCAGTTCTCGGAGGAGGCGTACGTTCGCCTTCAGTGACGTCTTTCGGCTTCTCGTATTTGCTGCCCGCTGAGCGTCCTAATATAATGTTTAATATTTACTCTTGCCACCGGGGCGTATGCGTAACGTGCAGTTAGTTAGCTTTTTGTTTTATAAAGTATATAAAATAAAATCGTAGCGGAAGCTGCTGTAAAATGTCAGTTAGCTGAGTCAGCGATCACTGGCTTTATCACCGATCTGAGCGACATGTGGAAACAAGAGACTGCCATCTTACATATAGTAATTGGCAATCTTGAACATCGACATTGTTTACGGCAATAATTTCATGTTATCAGCGGCGAATAAATGAAGACGATGCCCCCACATCTTTTGCTACAATTTGAATTTCAATATCGATTTTTGATAAAGGAAATGAAAAGGGTTTATGATGTCATATTTTGGGATGAATATTAAATAATAACATTTGTAATTATTAGAAAAGTAGGTGCAATAATGACTCTGGATATACTTCTTCGTCTAGAAATAATTTGTAATAAATAAATGTAACATATTTTTCTTGATCCTTTCTTCAAAATATAATATGTAAAACACCTCATTCACGTGCTGCAAATATACCCATCACCGTGACAGACTTTTCCGCTTTGTTTTGCCAACCAAAATAAAAGATCTGAGTAAGATCTAAATGCTGGAACAAAAACTTGGAGTCGTAGTGTGATAATAAATCAGTTTCCCGCTTTTTTTTCGGTATCATTTGGGAATGTTCTATGACAGGTGACTTACGTGGACAAGAAAAGATTTAAATAAATTAAGTCAGTGTGCTTGCTAAGCAAAAAAGCAAGATCGTCCTATATATTAGAGACAAATGTTAAATTATACTAATACCAAGTCTCCAAAGAATTTTAACCAGACAGAAAGTAATGACTCACATTTCGGTTTATCATGAAATAAAATAATATTTAAATGATAAATGCATTCGGAACTTGATAAAGAAAATTGAGAGACAAAAGAATTGCTTTTAGGTTTAATTTTAAAGCATTCTATTTATAAATATACAAAGAGATAAATAAGGGTAATTTAATTTATTGACATTTCTCATAATAATTATAAATGAATATTAAATATTTGTTATCTCTAAGAGGCACAGGAATTTGTTTTATCCAAGTAAATTATACAGATTATACCAATACTTATATGTTCTAAATATGAATTATGGGGTGTTCTAAATATGCATAAATTTAAATCTTTAAATGTTTTTCTCTATGCACACACAATTGATATATCGACGGATTCCACCTACATTTGTTTTTTAACTTATTACAAACTGGAAGTTCCAGTTGGATGCGTCTCAGTACGCCGAACACAGAAGATCTTAAGTCACAGATCAGGGAAATATTACAAAGATATAAGTTCACAATTAAGTTCACTATTAATAACAGTCTCCTCGAAAGAGTAAAAGAAAGCTGATTGGGATTAGGATCGGATGACTATATCATATCATATCATATATCATAGAAACTATCGTTAAAAGTAGTTCTCGCTCTCTCTCTCTCTCTAACTCTCTATGTATCTCTAGGGATCTCTTACTCTCCATTTCTCTTTCTCTTTCTCTAGAGGGATCACTTTCCCCTTCGCGCCCTCACTCTCTCGCTCTCACTCTCTCTGTTA